ATGACAGAAATCAGCAGATTGGACTGACTGACGCCATTAAATTATTCTAGGAATAGCTGTTATTCCGTGGGAAACGGCGGTATAGTAGCTATTCCCGAATAAGCCCACTATTCTTAGAATTTGTAGTTGGTAAAACGTAAAATTGATTTACTCTCGATTAACTGACGATTTATTCTAAGATTAAGATTTACTCTTGTTTGGTCGAATCGGCCCTAAGAGTTATAACATTGAATAAGGTGTTTAAACGTTAATGTATGCGTAAGATCATGCATGACAAGTTTTAATGCGTTCCTAGTACCCTTTGTCTAATATAAAAATCTTTCATTCAGTTAGTACGACATGCAGGCTAGAAGTCCAGAAATCTACACAAGGGACTGCCCGGGTCCAAGTAAATTATGACATAATTTCGGTGTTTTGCTAGTTAAATCAATTTGAATATACGAAAGCTTTATTTACATAAAAATACCAGTAACCTTAGCCTCGTAGTATAAACGCGTTATTTTTTTATTGTTAATGCGGTTGCGAAAATTTTAATAGCCGTATAAATACCTTAATATTTCAATGTAATGCCAGCTCTTTGTAGTTCAAGCAAGATTGATAAAATAATTATTGTTAGATGCAGGAATCCGTCAAGTATAATTATAATAATCTGTTATTTCTTTACACGTTTTTTGTATTCGTGACAAAAGTTAAATTATATCATCTATTGTTGGAATTTTTATTCATGCAGTAATTATAGCATAACTTTTTTACAGGACCAAAAACATTTTCATCTTACAGAAAAACGTGCATTGAGATTCAATTTGGGATTATTATAATGGTAAAGACGAGAGTTAATAAGTTGTAAAATACATAATTTTCCATCCAAGCTTTCCATCCAAAGCTCAACGCAAGGCGTTTCGCAACTCTTGCGTAAATCATGACGTCACCTTCCGGCTTCGCTTTCGCAAACACTTTCACTTGATACTTATTGTCATTCAGCGCGCATCAAACTCGATAATATACCGATCGATAAACCTATAGGTTTCATATCAATTTCGAGTTTTTACACGTAATAATGTACACGTTTTGAATATCGTTATTAGGATTAAACATAATCATAAATATTCTGTGTATAGCAGTTAGGGCAATGCTTTAGCCCTTTTACCTTAGAAAATAGAGGTGCAAGTTTAGGTATGTTAGAGTTTATGTAATTTTATATAATACCGTATTATCAAAATACATAATTCCATATAAATTTAAACTAGAGGCAAATATGTAATGATTACTAAAATTATTATTAAAATACTAATGCACCACTTAAGAAGTGGTTCGTTTAGCATAAAGCACACGAAAGTCTATAGTGACCACTTGTAGTTTACTGGTAAGTTCATTTTACAATACACCGAAGTTTTAGTAAAATACATTATGTAAGTGAGGCTTTGACGTAACATTTTGGGATAATTATAAATAATTGTTAAATCTATCTTGTGTTATTTTCTTTATCTCACAGAAAATAACTTCTGGATATTAATATGTATATACAGATATTAGGCGCATTAAATAAAGAACGGGAGTGTGGATTTATTTATTATTACTTCTGAACCCCAGAACTTTAAGGAATTATCGAACAGGTAGGTGATAAGAGATATTATTTTCTTATAGTTTCGATAAAACAAATTTTTAAGCTAGTTACTAAGCAGAAGGGAAGATGAAGCGTAGATTTTTTACATCTTCTATTCATGTTCCTTCACTCATCAGAAATGACCAACAAAAACCTGCAAAAGTTTTCGCATCTGATTTCCTTTGGATAACTATTGGCTATATTCCATTACAACATTTATCATATTCGCATGCACTTATAACCGAGTCAAAAGCTGACTACACAATAACCGCTAAACTAGGATAGACCCATTGAAAGCCGCGTTAAATCGTTCCACGTTGTCAGAGCAAGTGACAAACTGCGTAGAACAATGGCTTTACAATATCGGTGACAAAAATAAAATGCTTAAGACATTTTTCACGGACGTTTTCACCGAGAGCGTAACGGACTTGTAATACAATCAATTATCTAGACTTCCCACACTTTCCAAACGTATTGTGATGGACGGGACAATTGTAATATCATTGGATCCATTTTAAGGAGAGGCTGTATATGTACGCTGCTCTAGCCAACAAATACATTACATACATACTTTAAACTATCCCTGTTTCTCTATCTCTATCAAAAATTAATTAATAAAATATAATGGACGTCAAAAACACAATATTTATATTGTTTTGTTTAATTAACAACAATTATATCGCATTATCATCAAACGGAAAATCTGTTAGATGTATTAAAATAATTTTCACATATGTTCTCAGGCGTGTGCCTGACACACACCCACACAACCCTCCTGACACTCACCCACACACACGTACATCCCCTCTCCCTCTATCATACATATACATACACACACACCCTCAAATACGCCCATACAACTTTACCTACTAGCTTCCAACTAGTTGACTGTTTTGTTTTGTTTTTCTTTCCTTATTCAAATTTTCTTTATTATTATTATCATTACCAAAAAATGCTAATTTTCTTATAGAACTCATACTTGTATGAAGTAAATTTTCAATAAATCTTTTATTTACGCTAAGTTTCATAACTTTAAGTCATTCAACACGAATATAATGCATTTATAAAGCTTTTTTTCAATTTCATCATTTTGAAATTCTAAATAATTAGAGTATTTCTCAATAAAAACTATTACTTTTGTTCATTGCAGCTCAGAAAATAAACGAACGAAGTACACAATAAAACTACAAAACAATAAAACGAAACTACCAGAGTAGGCTTTCCAATTTAGCTGAATGTAATCAAAAAGAAATAATTAACTTTTTATTCCTCGTTGTTAACAATATTATCTCGGACAAAAGTGAGTCAACACAAACAATAGTGAAATTCAGCAACCACTTTCCAACTTCAGCGCAACCTCAAATTGATAAAATAAAAAGTTTGAAAGGCAGATAAAAATAATGGCAATATGAAAGCGAATTTAAACGATCGGACACGATGTTGTAGCTTAAGAGCCAATGATTTCATATTTTTTCAAATTTAGTTGCACCTTGCTTTGATTCCAGCAATATTGTTCCGTGTTGGCATAGTACTTTTATGTATATAAAGGACTTTCAACAACTTGTTGTATTCTTTGAATTGCAATGGGATCTCTATTACGGTATGTATCAATGCGCAAACATTTAAATGCATAATCTTGCTTTGACGGCCATGGTAACCTCAGATTGGGTACAAAAACATCTATTTGTATGTAGAACTTCCAAGTCGATCTTACCTCGTTTATTTGATTTTATAAAGTATCAGATTAGACAAAGGTTCTTACGCATAGTGAATTTCAGCTTTAACCAATTCAAACATCAAAAGTCGAGAACGAAATTATCATGGAAACAAGTGAACACGCCTTTCATTCTAAATTTACGTAGACAACATCTCTGGCTACTCGCCTTTAATGCCCAAAACTGCAATATGCAAATGTTGCATACCATGACTAACAAAACAACGTATATTTTCAGCAAAACGAACGTCAAAGAACACATTGGCGTGTATTTCGGATGTTCGATTTATAATAATTTGTAGACTTGACATGATTTAAAAATACATTGAACACACGTGGAAGCCATAGCCCATAAACAGACAGACATTACAGAATAACAACAAAGTAATGCCTTTAAGTAGATTACTAGTCTGGCTAATGAAAGAAGATAACGAAAAAGCGCGGCAAATTAAAAAAAAAATAGTATGGTATCCCTAAAAGTTTGGTACATTTTGTGGATTAAACTTACTTGATACTTGATTTTATTTTATTATTTTTTACATTGATAGTAACTGTATTTCTATGAAATTAAATACTATACGTATTTAGTCTTTTACTATTGATACTTAAAATTAGTAGCATTGCATGGAAAACTAAAACTATATTTATTATAAAACACAACTTTATTCGGAATAATCAAATCCTGCGAAAGAAACGAAATATTCTATCAAATAAAACAATGTTTAGGCTATTATACCTGTTAACTATTCGGAAAATATATATAATAGAAATAAAAATGAGTAATTGCATGAAGTATCAAGACAATAAATCATACTAACCTAAGAAATTCAATGACATTCTGTGTTGCCATCCGAAAGTATTCAAATAATTCAATTATCTTCTTTCATTATCCAGACTCTACTAACCTTTACGAATAAAATCAGCATATCTAACACTAACAGTGCTACATAAATAAAACGCGTCTAATTGACCGCGCGCGTCTCAAATCTCGCGACGTCTCAATCGCGACACAGATAATGTGATGTCATCGTGACTTGCGGTACTAAAATTTTAAATTCTTTATACTCTATAAGTCTATGGTATTCGGCCACTGTTTATATCAACGCTAGAGGCCATTAAAAGAAATAATTGAAAAGTGTACAGAATGTTCGTGTTTTACGCCATATTAAAAAGGTTACTATTATTCCAATACTTTTTAATTTGTGGTATCAGCTGCTGTTTTGTTAAAATCGAATAAATTGTTGTCGATTTAAAAAAATTAAGTGTAAAGAGTATAAGTATAAACACGACACAAATTATGCTACAACTAATATGATTATGCTATAATATTATTATATGATTTAGGTCTGGGGCCCCAGATTTCTGTATTTGTTTCGTTATTTATGTTTTAATAGGTAAGTAGTTAATCAGCCTGTGCCTGACACAACGCCATGGGCTTTTTGGGTCTATGCCTTGCCGGTTTCCTCATGATGTTTTCACCGTACGACCGAGTGTTAAATGCGCACTTAGACAGACAGCACTCTAAAGCTATTAGACGAACACGGCTCTTAAAAACAGGACAAAACATATTTCACCTCATGATTTTTTCATTAAAAACCCGAATTATTGCTTCACGCGGCTACACATTTAAATAAATCTTCAGGCTATTTTTGTTCCCAATAAAGTGGAGTAAAAAGAACACGACTATATTGACACATTGAGCGTGTACGCACATCGATTAAGTTTAAATGGTTCTTTTATGAATGTGGCTACTGTTGGTCCCATTAAACCTGTAATTGGTTATTAAAAAGTGAATCGCCTGAGGTCCAACAAAGTAGGCAATGGAGTAGCACAGTAGCTTTTCTGGGTCAAACGTGTGTGTATTTTCGATTACCTACTTATAATGAGAAATGAATATATATTTTCAATATTTACTACACTTAATTTTCATATTGTATGATTTAGTATTTTTCTCTATTTCCAAATTATTAGTGTTTTGAAAACATTTCAATTGATAGAATTCGTTTGGTTTAACTTGAATATATACATAATATTTATAAATTTCTGAACGAATTTGAGATGAACTAAACTTAAAAACCTATATACCTAGGGTTGCCTGGAAGAGATCGCTTATTAGCGATAAAGCCGCCCGTTGCATCCCTTGTAATTTTTATGTATTGTGCTATTTGTGTTTCTTTTATTGCACCGAAGTGTAAATAAATAAATAAATATATACAAGGTTTTGAAATAGAGAGAAGACGTGCGCGGTGTCAACACAATATTAATCGGCAAACTAATTTAAAAGGCTTTAATCACTGTTTTTAAACCTTTGCCAACTCTTGAACAGTTAGCCCTTAACACGCACCTACGTAAAATCTAATCTAAAGTTAACATAATAAGATAGTAATGGTTTTTGAAATTTGAGCGCCATAGGTGGAACAAATCAGAAACACACATACGCAAATTGTTAGCGAAATTGATATCTTTCAAAATTTATAATCAACTACAGTAGGTATACAAACTACAGATATTTTAAAATAATATAATTAAAAATATTATTAACTTGCCAAAGGCGACATCTACACTGATCACTGTGTATTAATATCTCACTGGCGTATCCAAATGTACTAGTTCCTTTCAACACCGCAAGAGGGAGCTTTTGTTAATTACATTTATAGATAGGATTCTAGCGTAAATAATTGTTTATCGAGTCGATAGTACTAGATTAGCAAGTTTATTGTACCCAAACTATCATTAGTTGTCCGGACGTGTAACCTTTACTTGTTATAATGTTAATATCCATATATTTTTCTACAGATATGGTCTGTTAATATAGATCTAAAAAGCCTACCTTGTAAGTTATCCAGTAGATACGTTAGCAGCTTGGCAGTCCCATTATTATCGTTGTATATTGATAGCATCTCCTTACTCAGCGGGTTTCCCTGAAGACCTAGGAGTTGGAGGTGAAAGAGTTTGCCCAGATCGTATGGCAGTACTCTCAGGTAGTTATTGTGCAGGTGTAACTCTCTGGAACAATAAATATATTATTAGTAAAAGTTGATAACAAATGTTTATTTTACCAATTATATATCAAATAAACAGTCAGGAGGGAAACATGATACCGGCGGTGTAAACTTGAGGCAAACTACGAAAACTCAGAGATCGGAATCGCTAACCATTTTTTGTTTGTAATAGCACGGTCATACTTTATTTGATAAAGAGTCAGCTGGTCCTGCTAACAAACAAAAACCCCGACACAAAAACGCGCTAACCCTTTTTCTCCTCAAACCAACGAAAGGGGTCTTCGCTTTGCGCTTAGACTCAAGTTTTCGCTCAACACTTAGTTTGTTTTTTTCTTTCTTTTAGAACATGAGTCAGAGCTTGGGTCACTGAATAAAGTATAAAAAATAAAGTGCTAACCGCCGCCACCTGCAACCTTTGAGGAACGGTTAGCTCTTTTCTTGGAGACACCTAAGTCATAACGGTTCGGAAAAAACGTCTGCCTCCTTCTGTCGGCTGCTTCCACAAAGACATGCTGTCCGGCAGAAAGTGCCCTAAAAAGCTCGTTCAATATTAAATGCGGTCTATTTAAAATTAAAAAAATCATACAAAATAATTATTTTGTTTATAGAATTACGTCATGTACTTACAATAACATTTTAACAATTATCTACAAAAATAAATGACATATTATCACGTATTCTGTATAAATTGAAATTCTCATATCAATGTCCTTTAGTTGACATAATCGTGTATGAAGTCTTAGGCAAGGTTTTACGACATAAGGTCAATGACTTTTGGTTTAAAAAAAATCCTATACTAAACAGAGATAAAGCATTATTAAAAGCTTACTACATTGATAGATTTCCCATCCATATTTTAACAACTTTAAAGGATAGGAATTTATATTAGCATTTTTTTTTTTTTGTCCGATTAGTTTAGGTAGGTTTAAACTATTTTAACGGAAACTAATACAACGTTAACTAAAAATAGTTTTAATTGCAATAAATTGATTGAAATTAGAAATTTGCTATGCAATGAAAACTACTATATTTAAAGATGAGCTGATAAAATGCTATAACTTAGTGTAGGACAAAAAATTAAAAAAATGCTAATATAAATTCATAGATGCGCGCGCACAGGAAAATACAATATTTTAACGAACAATAATATTTACAAATCCGCTGATATCGCAAATGAGAGTTCGTTGACACCGACTAGTTTGTTTTGTATATAAACGAATAATTCTCAAGGCATTCAGCTGTTTTATCTATTATCACGATAATCATATTTTGCATGCGAAAATCAACCTAAAGTGTTGCTAAATATTCAATCAAGGTATATTTAAACGACGAATTCACGTTAGAAACTGGTTAATCGAGTGTGGCATAAAATGATATAATGAATTTATTCTTTAAGTTTTGAGGGTATTTTTATTTTATTTACGTTATCAAACATAACACATCACACATTTGAAAATGAGGACTATCAAACACTTATGAAATATTTTAGGAAAAGGATAACAATTGAAATTGACATTAGAACTTAAGAAGACGAACCACTAACTAACAAAATTCATATGTCAAAATCCAATACATTTATTGCGCTGTGTCTTGCGACTCTGAATCTTACTCTAACCCCAAGTGCTAATTTTCTATGCATTATTTATAATAGCTTATCTACCAATAATGTTAATCACCGATTACCGCAAAACAATACCAAACTCGCCAATCTTTCATTATCACAATTAGTTTGAAACTTCACAAACATTTCTTTTAAATGCTGTAAAAATCTATGAATAGAATCTTAACGCAAATTAGTTTCCGCCAAGGTGAAGTCATTTACTCGATGAATTAATTATAAATGCAAGAGAAATTACTTCTATCATTGTTATGGAAAATTTCAAAATGTATTTATTTTTAATTTATAATAACTATTCGCTTTTATAACTTGAAAGGGACTAGGTAGTTAACGAGGAAGCTAGAAGGCTAAAATAGTTGCTTAATCTAAAAACTGATTTGAATTTGGTATGGATAGGTACATCGATGCGATCTTTGTATGAAAATGTTACTATAAAAAAATCCGACATTTTTTAAATCCCACATCACTCTGGTCATTGCTTTCGCCCAAAACATAATGATTAAGTTAGCAAAAAGTCTACTATTTTGTATGTGTATAAATTCTGTAAGGCATTTTTCATTATATTATAAATTGTTTTTCGGAAATTGTAACACTTTCATGTCCACAACCTTTGCTGTACATTACCATCACTAATAGCCAAGCGAATATATTAATTAAAATATTTTTTTACCAAGCAATTTAATATACTTTTTTATGTCTTAAACTACGTAAAACAAATAATCCCTAAGATATCATTAACATTTAAGGCCAGAACGCTAGGTTATTTAAGCAAGACCTTCAATCACTATCCAGCCTATTAATATGGAACTTAATAAAGATTTTTTTGATAGTACTTATAAAATACGAATTTTAAATTTAGCCTTTGCCGTCACTTGAATCTAATTAATATCATAACGGTAGGGTTAAAACCGTGGGAAACAAAAATGAACGAACAAATAAAATATTAATAATTGCATGTACATATACCATATATGTACATGGAATCACGTAACATAACTGACAATCGATTTAATCTTTCCCTAATCCGTTCGTTAACGAATCCTCTGAAGTCATGACGTAATAATAGTGACGACACGTAGTGTCAATGGCACCGAGAGTAACGGTTTTGTAAACTGTGAGCCTATACAACTTGTTTTTAACTCAGATTTTTAACATGTATGGTTCAAAGCGTTACTTTTTAGTCATTTTATTTTTAACAAGTATAAGTACGATGTTTTGTTCAGGGACGTCGCGGTCGCTGCATTCTTAACTATACAAAAAAAATTGTTGTTATTGTAACAAACGAGATGATTTAAACAGTTAAATATCAATCCAAGATAATTGTGTTTCTATATAAAAAAAAATTGTCTACTACTTCTTAAAGATCTTAATGTTCTTGTATTATATTATAGATAAAGGCGATGACATTATCCCAATCAACACTCAAATAGTTACCCATATTTAATTCTTTAATTGAACTAGTCGGTAAATATATAACAATATGTAGGTATAACAATATGTACCTACTTAAAGTACGTAATCTTATCAAATTGCGTATATATTGGCCGTATTTAACTCAATTGTTCATTAAGACAAAATGAAAAAGCATTTTGAGAGAACAATGGTTGTATACATTTTCTTACTAAAACCTAATTCAATAGGAAACATAAGTACAGAATCATAAAAATTATAATTCTTTAACAACGTATTACTCAAAAAATTTCTTTGTGAAAACATATATAGATATAGATGAATTTAATCAAATACGGGTCATCAATCACTAACAACTAACATACTATTTGATCCTACGATTTGTGAAAAAACAGAAATGTTAAGAAATCAGCCATCGCGAATTCCTTTGCCTTAGATGAGCATGAAAACTGTCTGTTCAGCGCCTGCTTTCAGCGAGTTAAGTAAAACAATGCCCTCGTCTATACACAAATTATCTCCTCCGTAGTTGTACAAACGCAACAGAGATTAGGCCTTAATAACATTAAAATACCCTTAGTTCCAAGAGTTTTACCTGAGCTGTATGAGGTCTCCTAACTCAGCGGGCAGTGTCCTCAGTTTATTGCTTGACATATCGAGTGTGTGCAGGTTGACCAGTTGGTTGATATCAGGCGGAATCCGTTGTAACGAGTTGTCGTTAAGGTACAACGCTGTGAGGTGCGACAGTTGAAAAAGTTGGGGCGCTAGAGCGCGGACACCTCCTGTTATCTGAAAAATTATGAGAATGCTTGTTAGTTTACCTTTGCTGATAGAATCAATCGAAACATTGTCCAATAAAACCACGGAATACATAGCTAGCAGGTTTATGTCGAATTATGTACTACCAGTGGTCAAGGACCAGTTTTTATGTCGCACATATACAGATTCTATTTAGTATGATTATTCAATCAGGCGTGCTTGGGGTGCCTATCTTTCACCACTTCCGTGATGTTCACCTATCCCATACAGAAAGATTTTATCTGTGATTTAACATTAGCCCAGAAAGTTAGAATTTCGATTTCCTATCTCGAATCAAACATGAAAATACATTCCATATCTATTATGAATCGCAATTGTTCCAGTTTTATGAGTACAGTAGGTTTTGTTTACACGTAACTAGAACAATTTAAACCTAGGACAGAGCAAAGATTTGCTATCCACTTCCAACCGTTTTCTCAAATAGAATTAATCCAGTTTAGGTTATGCAGAATTTACGTCACATATATTTTTGGAGTACTTGTAAATGAAATTGTATGTTAAGCTAAAACACGAAAATAATATAATCAAAATCAAATGCTGGAAACCTCACATATGGAATATGATATAGAAAACAATTTATATCCTATAAGATTTTTTAATTTGAAATAAAACAATTTAAGTAGGTATATGGCGTACCATTTGACTGGTTTCTAAAGGTGATTTTCTATTTCCTACATTTTTGAGCGATAAATTATAAATAGCGATACAATAAACAAAATTTATTATAATGATAAAGATTAAAAAATTAAGAACGATATACCATTTGTTTTATACAAAATTTGAATTTTAAAAAGTTATTAATTGAGCGTGAACATGTAAATGGAAATTCAAATGTTTATTTATAAAGGACGAAAAATAGAATTACTTTTTTGTAGAGATCAGACAGGTGGTTGTATTTAAAGAATTTCGTTGACCGATATTTCTCTGTATCATATTATTTATAGAATTTATTAAGCAAGAGGAATGAACAGCGATCTATCTAAAGCTTAAATCAAAACATAAGCACACACACTCTGGTTAAAAACGTATTGAACCATCACAAATTTGAATAATGAAGAAATTTGTAAGTAGAATTATTAAAAATTATATGTTTTCTTAAACAAAATGATCCTTAACAGTCAGACTAAAAATCTTACTCTTATCGAAAATCTTTTTCTTTTTATTTATTGGATACTGTTTAAGTTTTAATCCAAAGCACTTTGAGACCGTTTTTCAGTAGCTTTGTTTTTCTGACTCATATCTTTATTTTAGCAATAACTAAGTAAATGTTTATAAAATTGAAGGTATATTACAGGTACAAATTGTTTCATATGTGAGTGCGATACCAGTTCAAATCTAAGAGGGGTCGCTAGTATATAAATAAACACCCTTACGACCCAAAATTTTAACTGTTCAACCTACAAACCGGTCTCATTAAACTGGTTTTTGGGTCTCAAGTCTTTCATTCCTTCAAATGACATAAACAAATGTTCGTTAAGGTTTTACCTGTCCGTAAGAAAATTCACAAAATAAATTTTATTCTTTTATTCTGTGTGTTAATTACGCCTCAGGCTTTCTGATATCCGTAAATACTAACAAAAATCTGAAGTCATGATTTGTATTGCTAAACTTATTTGGATGGAAATAGTAATGGTTTCGGATTGGAAAGGTGGTGTGTTTAAAGCAAACTTGACCAACCCAAAAATGCTACCTTAGAGATTACGTGATTTCACAAATTGCCGGTTCGTAATGTTATTTAACTTGACTTCGTGTCTAAAGATAACTGATCGGCGAAAGAGACACAGACGGTTCTATGTTCATGTAATTTGCTGACTTTTCAAGCGTAAAGCAATTATGTAGTGTAACCATGGCCTGGGGTCATGAACCGTCTTAACTCTTCTATGCGACATTGGTAGTATACTATTACTACAAAGACACTATGACTTCTGTGATGGTCTCGAAGTCTGAGGAACATGGCCAACTCAACCCAAAATACATCCTGCCAATAATCGTCGGTACACATAATTGTGTACGCATTTCCAATACAGTGGTAAATATTTTCTAAGAAAGACCTGCTCCATCTTACTTATCTTACCTCAAGCGTTGTCCAGCTACCGCGTCTGCCTGATGCCCGCTCCGCCTCGGACATAATGTGGTAGGTACGCGCGCTAGCGCCCTCATGCTTGTCTTTATTGCGAGACATTCTGTCACCTGCGTATTAATTAAATCAGTCAGCGAAAAACACCACCATCACGATCAGATATGACATGGGATATAACGCCTTGCAGCATTAAGAGGAAGGTAACGTAAAAATATATATAATATATGGACAAGGTGTTTTTTAATTGTTCGTAAAGAAAAATAAGATCATTTGTCATTAACAATACGATAAATGAATTATCGGTGATTTAATATCTATTCAATCAAACCCCACATACATTAAAATTACCATTTATTACCACGTAATTATAAACGAGTAGTTTAACCCCGACACAATAAAAAAATAATTCAAAGCAAACTGCGTTCAAACACGCAATGGTGTTAGAACCGATAAAATTGTAATGTTAATACAACAAAACCAAAATCTATTCAATATTACTAATCAAACAAAGACTACATCAACAATTCTTGTACTTTTACGTACTAAATTACGCTACGTACCAATACTTGCCAAAGAGGAATAATATTTTTACTTTACTGTATATTTATGCAAATATCAAAATGAAAATAGCTGTTAATTTGTAAACAAACGTAAATTGAAATTTAAATGTTGTCGAAAACACACCAATATTTTTTACCAAACTCAAACATTATTAATATCTTGTTTAAAGCTGTTGATAAATAAAACAACTTACAATGTAAATTTAAAACAGGGTCGCCCTGTATTCTAAGAAGTATCAAAATATGATACAATTTAAAAAGAAATTATACTTTTAAAATATATAATTTTAGTTTTCCGAATATTGCTCATCGTTTTGTAAACTTTACACCTTATACACCACTAACACCACTTTATATAACCAACGTTAAAAACATGGAGATTTCAGATTTGCGATATTGGTTTGTTTGTTACCGAGTCCATTACGTAGAAACGTAATTTCAGGAATAAGATATATTTTTTTTTTAAATCACATTAGCTTTTACTTTTACCTCAACCCAGCGTATAAAAAAAGGGGTAAAACTAAAAAGGAATTATTCGAACAAAGTAACTGCGGAGTTGGGTTTAGTTAGATAATAGGAGTTTTAGTAGGATATTTATCCTCAGCAATCCAATTATAATCTCAGCGGGTTTTGAAAGGTTCCCGTTCCTTGAATTAGAAAGGGAATTGTAATAACTATTACATAGCTTAAAATAATTCTCACGTTTCTATAACTGAAATTTTATTTTTACGAAATTACGGTTGCTTCACCCCAATATTCGCGTTGCATAAAATCGTACGCCTAAATTGAACTCTTGTGCTGTTGATGACACAATAATTGTTTGACCCACTCTCGGTACCAAACAATGCAAACCAATTGAATGCACCCAAAGGTGTATTTGGACCTTCTTGCATGTGTATTATTATTTTTCGTAACCGTACAACTCCGCCGCGACCTCTAGGCACAATTTTATATTAAATACATTATATATTATGGCAAGGTATTTAGCAACAGGGGCCATTCCGAGCAAATGTCCGATTTCATTTAAGCCACTGACATTTTCTCTTTAAAGCCAACTTTGTTTTTGATACTAGCAAAAAAAACGTAAAATTTAATACAATTGTTAATAAACATATTGATGAATTTGACATTGCTCTTAATATTTTGAATTATCCGCATTTTTATCAACTGAAAAAATACTATTAACCCGCATTTTACTTGTGTTTATATTGCCATTACCATAAGTCCTCTAAGATAAATTTAAATTCGCAAGGTGAACAGTAAACGATGCGCGCACTTTCGTAACTGAAATAATCATTTGAGTTAAAGTGGGACAATTTCTAATCCATTCAACACTCAAAAGTGGTGATATTGCTTCACCAGTATTCTCATAATACCATGCCAAATAATTATGATTAATAAATAAATAACCCACAGTGTCACATAGCATTATGTTTTTTTCCTATACAAAACAAATTGTGTGTTGTTTAATATGTAAATAATTCAAATATTTGTTTTTATAATTTATTTGTGATCTATAACAGAGTCAAATATGTAAAAGATCTGGGTATAAAGATCAAGTCAACAATACACCAACTAAGTGGCCCTTAAAATTATAAAGACAGAAGCTACATTCGTTCAGGCTTATATGCAAGATAAAAATGAATCTTAGGGATAGGTATATTTATTTTTATTAAACCAAAAGTAGTTTTATATTTATAAGGTTAAATATGTTGTTGCAACCTAGTAGACATTAACAAATCCTTGATAATTACCATGGTGAAATAGTTGATATAAACTATAAATATAGTGATTATGCAATGAATAATCCAATTTATTCAGTTTCTACATGCAAGTACACCTACTTATAAAGTAACTATGTGATGTTAAAAATTATATTTAAAGTTTCTTCTGAATTACAATTGGCAATAGGCACCACCTCAATGGCCGAGCACATCCTAGTCTAAGATTTTTTTAATAGTTAAGGACTGAAGGCTGATAGACTGTAAATTTAAAAATGCCCTTTTTTGTTTGGTTTCAAAATAATCTGGACTGCTTGAAACTAAATGTAGGTGTTTCAAGGTTTACCTTGCTAATAATCAATAACTTTAAATATTGTTAAACTTTTTACTTTAACATGGAGTTATATAGGTATATAGAAGTATGTGGATAAAGACAACAATAATAATTTATTTGAGTTTCTTTTAATTGAAACAACACACATTTATACTATAAATTATACTGGCTTTGGCTTTGATTTTTTTAATTATATCAAATGTAATGACTTCTCATTTGCCTGGGGCTTATTATTTATATACACAATAACTTAAGTAACATAATCATTAATTACAACCATATATGGTAAAAGAATAAAAATGTTGGCCCAGACTACATAAGATACAGTAATAATATAATAATTCTGAATAATTATAATATAGGTTTAATCAGAGTCGCCTTATTTCTCCCAATAAAAAAATGTGTGAACAATTTAAAGTGGAAGATAAGTTTCCTAAAATTTCAAGTTAAAGATACTCTAGAAGCAATAAGGTATTTTAGGAAACACAAATAACATGTAACACATTTATTAGAAGAATTTTCTTTATTATATTAAGTTTTTTATTATTAATAGAGGACCAGAGCAGAATAAACCAGGATATACTATGTAAGTAATTTATCAACAAATACCAACAAATCTCTGATCAAATAGGAAGTACACAATTTCCTTGATAGTAATGTTTTATTTATGATTATTATCTTAAAATATCATATTAACTTATTATATTATCACAGAATTGATGGATGTAAAATAAGTACTTTTTATTTACTATTTCTTTTATGGGAATATTTAAACTAAGAAAAAAGAAGTGCTATATTAATACAATATGTAATTTAAATACAGATTTACATAAGTACATTCAAGCAAAGTTTTCTATGTGGACCTCAATTTATCATTATATAAGTAAGATATATAGATAAGTTTAATTCTAATATATATAATTACAATAAGATACTCAAACAATAATACTTAATTGTCTTAAACATCATTGCAACTATAAGAAATTTGTTTACCATTTCGCTTACGATAATACCTTATAAGCATGCCAAGGGGTCATGAGGAGAGGCAAATATATTTCATTTGATAAAGGATTATCTTCGCTTGAGAAATATGTAAAACTGTGTTCCATAACCTCCGTCAATCTGGAGGTATACCTAGAGTTTTAACAGAATTGATTAAGCTCATGTGATTTATGTATTTTTAAGAGCCATTCTTATAAGAAAAAGTGCTCGTTTAATTCATTATTTGAGTATTAATTTAGTAAATGCGTATGATCTTTGTATACAGCTGACATGAAAGAGATGGGTCGACTCGACGCACAATTGACGGTCGAAGCGCCAAATCACAAGACACAGATGCCCCATTAGTATATAAAATTGAAATGTTTTATTACATAAAATATACCTTCATCTACTCCTTAAAAGTGTTTCCTCCAACTCGGATTAAATATACAAGCAATAAATCACTGTAAACACACAATAGCACAATCTTGACATACACCACATCAAACGTCCATTTACCGACTACAGCGACAATCGACACTAGCGGCGTATTCTAGAACCTTTCCTTTGTAGTTTTAGGTCGCAAGCATAGACAATGTATGTAGTATTTATTTGTTCACAGATTAGCGAATGGTAATAAATAAGGATACCATGAGTGAATGCAATTTGCATAAGTTTGGCAAACCTATGCAAATTTAAGTTATGATCTATTGTGAGATAAATAAAGGATTTTCTTGCCTGTCTGTCAATTATATTTATTTTAATTTAGGTAATTTTTGAATATTACATAGCTAGACTAGTGAGATTTACTTTATTAATTAAATTTTTAACGAATCTGGTAAAAATATAATTAATAAAGTAAATAAAAAATATTTTACCGGTATTAATATGAATAAATATTTTTAATTAGTTCAAAAATATTTATCTGAATTTAAGAACTTTTAACAGTTTCTCAATTAAGCTAACACTCATAAACTTGGATATTCTAAATCATTGACTTACTAGACATCACTTAGATATTTAGTCAAATTAAAAGTTTGCTTTAGGATTTCCATCGTTCGAAATGCATTGTTAATCTAGAGTCATGCGTTCGAACTCTGGCTATGCGTTATTGCACACAAGCACTTTTTACCGCATAACTAATTTGATGTATGATCCGGTAGGCAGATATGAGATATCCGACAGTAGTATCACGAAAGCAGGCATATACCGACAAGACAAAGACCGTCGGTAAAAGGTGTTCACCAAGTTAATTGGTACTTAGTTTGTCGAACGTTAGATCCATTTTGAATGCCTAGAAAAGCGCTAGTTGTGAAATATTAAATTTAGATCGGAATAAATGATTTTTTAAATAAATTATGTTCTGTCGACCTCGCGTCAAAAATTTGCGTCCTTAAAATTTTATTATGTAAATTCAACCATTGTCTTGGTCATGTCACCCTTTGAACTCATACATGTACTACTATCATTTGTGTATTTAGTTCGATTAGTTAACGTAGGAATAATTTACGTCAGTGCTGGTTTCATTTTACTATTAAAATGGTGGAAATTAGTAAGCTTATTGTAGATGAACTACCGGAATTGAAGAAATTAACTTGTATGCAGTTAATTCATCCTAATACAGACAGCTGTTACAGTGCGTTTCTTCTAATGTTCGAAAATTGCTTTAAAGGGAGCCTTATATTTTGGGCACCTATTCATGCTTTCCCTTTGGTATGTATTAATCTAAGATTCAAAATTGTAAATAAGTCGTCATAGTCGTAGAATAGTGACGGATCGGATAAATAGTAAACTTTACAGGGCAGCCATTTCAAAATAATATAATCATGTTAGTTTTTGTCATAACTATTCATATTTTGTTATTATGAAAATTGGCATACAAGCAAACAAAAGGGTTTGTTTTGAAACAAAATAAAAATAATAACATTAAAACAAAAAAATTACACAGTTTTCTAGAAAAATCACTTGTTTCTATCAAATCCGTCACTTTACCGACTGATTAATTTGAAATTTAAAACACATGGATTTTTTAATGTAGCTGTATTATTTAGTCAATGTAGTATCCAAATATGATAAAAAGTGGATTTTGGATTTTTTTCAAATCCGACTGTTCTACGATCATGACGAAGTTTTTGCTATCCTCGCTAACAGTTAACTAGGGTTAGTTAATGTAGGTTACGTTAAGAAGATTTTTTTATATATTACATAAAAATGTAAATTATATAATTACAATTTCCTGGGAAATATGAGGAAAAAGAGCATTTTTACCCATCATCTCAAAGTTTTTGCATTTGAAGGATGGGTGGATGTTTTCCAAAGTACGTATTAAGGCGGAAACATACTACCAAAACGCGACGCTACACCACGCCATCCGACGCATGTCAGTACTTATCAATCCCATATATTTAATATGGTCAGATGCACATAGACAACACGCCATGTGATCACACGCGGTAACATCCAATCGATTTGGATCGGCGTGTTGTCGTGTTGTTGACGCCAAGCGTCAAACGTTCGAGTTTTTGGCACAAATGTCAATTGTCAGCTAAATGACTTCTGAATTTGCAAGTGTGTCGTGGTGTCGCGTGTTGGTAATGTGCACGATGGACATCGGGTGTCGACACGTTGCGTCGCGTGGCGTTTTAGTAGTATGTTTCCACCTTTATAAATGTTTGAGGTGCGAATACCTGTTTATGGCAATAGTCGTTAATATCTGTATTTGATTGATATCGGTTCGGTAGTTTAGGAGTCCATAGCGGACAAACAACGTGACACGTAATTTATATATATTAAGATTAGATTTATTTATTTTGTTTATACATATTATTATTAAAGAAGAAGTGGAGGTGGTTTTGTCTATAACTTATTTTAGTTGTTTTAAGAGTCTATATTGTTACTTTTTAAATATTTTATGGATGGAATTTGCAAATATTTTTAGAATTTATCTATCCCGTTTTGTTGCAGAAAAAAAAATGGCGTCTGTAACAGTCAAGTGTATAATGCAACAATGCGTTTAATCTGTAACATATTTTTGTATTAGAAATATGACATTGCTATATTCGCTTTTGTTTTGACACTGACAACAACCTATCATTTTGAGTTTTGTCATTGTCAGAAAACTAGGTATGTTTTAGACTTGATCCGATTTTGTGATTCGAAATCGAGGATTGGACCTCAATACCTAATACAATTCCAATCCAAAGATCGATCTAAAATAATCACAGACAATTACAGCTTTATATTTAATAAGTCTTAACTGAATTCTAGCATTATGAGTTAACGTTTTTAGAGTAAATTATTATTAAACGATAGCAACACTCATTAAATTGACTTTGGGTATGTTCCGATATACACTGCGAGTACTGTATAGTGTTCCCACTGTTCAAAAATTCGTTCCGCTATGGACTGCCAGTATACAGCCGCAGCGTCCTAGGGAAATATATGACGTCACAAATCCCCGCTATACTTCTACTACGAGCACTGGCGTTTTCGAGGTAAGGTACTCGCAGTGCTTTGATCACGTGATCAATCAAAACCACTTGAATGCCTAACGGCTGATATAACTTACAGTTTAATAACAAACATTTAAAATTCTAATTAAAAAATACTTACTTTCTTTGTAGTATTAATTCAATTGACAGTTAATATTAATATAGGTTTTTTTTTAATGCGATAATACTCCAATAATAGTTTTTCTTGTTGAATTGAAAAACTTTGATGCACTCATTTGAAAACTGTGCCGAAAAACGAAGCTGACTAGTATACTGGACTGCGTTCCGTTTTAAATTGTAACCAGTATAGCTGGCTATAGAGAAACGGTTTCACGGTATACTAAATTGACGGTACTCTGTACAGTGGTCGCAGTGTATATCGGAACATACCCTTTATAATAGCTTAAATTTTATAGAATATTATTATATTTAGGTATTAATTTCAAATTAGAAGAGGGAGTAAATAATAACATTATATAATAATAACATATACGATAGAATAACCAATTAAATTGACTTTCGAATTGCTAATATGTTAGATTAGTACCTATTCAGTTATTAGTATTGACTTAGTATTACTCAAAACACCCCACTTCAAGTTGTTCGTAAATTATAACTAGGGTAGATTATAATGGACAATTGGCCTCTACGTCTCACTTTATTTGCTTTTTTTAATTTAAGTCCAAAACTCAAATTTTCTGGCATTCTTGTAATATCTTCTGGCACAGTGATGATGAATCAAACGAAATCCTAAATTCGATTAGTCATTAACGGAACTATCATATATATTCTCAAAATAGTGTTGTATCGTGACAAATAAAATTTATAGGAAGATTTTGTTGTTTTAAAAGAAAAAAAGATGTAATTTTTCTTAACCGACTGGATTAGAATTTCAGATTAAATTTTTTGTATTTAGATCAAACGAGCATTATCTTTAACTATCCCTTAATCCGCCGAAACCAAAAACTTAGGACCACGAATCGATATTAAGGAAAAATTATTTGAAATATTTTTCGTCTAATTAGTTCGATCTACCGGTCAGTTCACATTTGTATTCGATTCAGAGCCCCAATTCAACCGAATCGTATCAACACGGCCGGCTGCCCTAGTGACAAATATAAGAGGTTTTCCTCCCAAATTTAAGGGAAATTAAGATGTCCAGTGTTTTTATAGGCGTATTTTTTTCACGAACTTTTATTTTAAACGCACCATTCTATACAATTTACTTACTAATTTAATAAATCTTCCAAACTAACCCAATATAAACCTATAGTGTGGCTATAATTCTTACCCCAAGATTGAAATAATAGCTTAGCGATTAGAAATGTATAAAAACATTAAAAATTTATAAATTTTTTTAGGAAAAAGCAAGAATACTAAATTTAAAGAAATGAAATCATTTATAGGTACATAATGTTAGGTTTGAAATGCACTACAACAGCTATTTTATACTATTTTAATTATTTATCATTAATATTTGAAATTACGTTTGAAAACGAGTGTACAATAAAACATTTTGGTGTTTTTAGTCGATATTTCGGGGTATTTGAAATTGGTCTTAGGGGGAACATTTTGTAAGAGTTGGCATCACAGTTCACAGGCTCACAGCCTGCCCTAGTCAAAACAACTTTAGAGTTTAGAGTGAAGATATTGTTGACCTTATTACTTGTAAATTAAGCTTTTGTTTTTTCAATTCATTATCTGTTTTAAACATTTAAAAAATATAAAGAGGTGGAAGATAAATTAAAGTAAATTTTGAATAAATTTGTATCTTTAACGTTTGGAACAAATTCCTTAGTAATTCTTATCTTCCGGAGGCAAACTGGAACAGTTCAAACTTCATGTCTGTCTTTAAATTCACATCCAGTAAAATACTGATTATTAACGAAGATAGGCGGCTAGTTTGCTACTTAATTAATAAATGAAATTCACTCGAACGAGAACTTCGATGTTTGTTCTTAGTTGAAAAACAGTGTGTCTAAGTTTTTACTTCTATTCAAAATATTAACTGAGAAAATGGTTGAAGCAAGTAAATTCTGGTTTGAAAAATCATGCAGTGATTCCGATTGTCACACTTTGATTCATCCCTGGACACGGACTTGCTCCAATGCAACTTCCTCTATGTTAATGAGTTGTATAAAGGGCAGTTATAAGTTTTATGCTATGGTGTACATTGTAAGTAATAGCTTAGAATTTCATCCATAACCATTCTACTTCTAGGGGTATAATATATGTATCCCGGAAAAAGGGCTTGTCATTTATTATATCATAACTAAATTGTAAACAGATAAACATAATCAGTGTAATGTAATAAATGTAATAGATGATCTTAGAAATATTGTCTATGAAACATAAATATATGTAATGTTGCCTTAATATTAAGCAGGTAGTTAATAGGTTTGACTATAAACCATAGAAGTGATCTGCTTTTTGAATAAGTATTATATGAATTATTATAAATATTCTGAAATAAATATTGCTTTCAGACTCACTGGGCCCTAGAGGAAATTTCATAAATTCCATTCTTTGTTTCAGATACAAATACTTATGAGGGGAAAGAAATTAACCAAAGAGGATATATTGGAGCAATTTAAACTTTATTTAAAATCTGGAATTTTTGGTCTTACTGTTGGTAGTTCATTTGTAACTTTAAATTGTATATTTAGGTAACTATCTTCCATAAGTTCTATGTCTTGTGCTCAATTGCATATATTTTAATAATAGATACCTAAAAAAGATGCTAGAACATGTACCATAACTGATGTTAAAGTTTTACTTGTAAATATTTTATTCTAAACATTTTATTACTTTTTGTTTAATTTTCTAAAACAATATATGGGATTAAGTTCTAGTGAAAATACTTTTTTGTATTGTAGGAAACTCTTCTTCAGTCAATTTACATACTACACAACAGTTCTCCTACCATGTACCATAAGTGGAGCTGCAGTATACTTTGAACCACCATACAGAAGGGTTATGGTTGCAAATCTTTTTGTCAATCTGGTGAGTTTTAATTTTGTAATCATATTATAGCCATGTGACAGATGGCAATAAGTTAGGTAACATTTTTTTTATTATATTTAATTAGCATATGATAGTGTTTTGATGATAAGATTATTAATAACTTTTTTTGATATCATATCTTTCAATTTATTACAAAATAAAAGCTAACTAAACTAAAATGGATAAATTACAAACTATTTATGAATAATTGTCTTATGTTAAATTTGAAGAAATAATGGTTCTGGCAATAATAAGATTGAGTATGATACCAATTTGTTTTTTCATTGGCATTTAGTGTATAGTAATTGAAATTCCTAGCATTTTTGACATCCATACAAAATACTGATTTAACACATGATGGGAAGATTTGTCTATAAATAATTTGTTTTAGCTGACTTTTTCCTTAATATAAAATGTATTTAACTACTATAAAATACTTCAATTATTACTCATAAGTCATAATTTGTTTTATAGTATGTCCTTATAAGTTTCCTTAAAATGGTAAAACCATCTATTACAGGAAAGGATAAAACATGAGAAATATTTAATGTGTGTCATTTAGAGGATCCAGAAAATGTTTATAAATAATCATATTATATGTATTAAATATGAGTAGAAATAACAAAAACTGTTACTTAAAGACTCCATAATATGTTCCTGGAATAGTAAAATTATGTAAATTAATTAAATTACGAATATTTTCATACTGATCCTGATTTGTCTATGCATTTTCAGGTTTTTGAATACTGGATACGCACACTAGAGATGAAAGGCTGGCTTCGGCGCTCAGCTAGCCGGGAGACACTTATATTCATGCTGGGTAGTTCTCTCTTCTTCTATCTTATGCGTTTAGACAGAGATAATAAAAAGAGGACGCCTTTATTCTGGTAAGTTAACATTCAGTCTAAAAATTCAACGTACATATTATGTTTCATTCAACACTGAAACTTTTTTTTGTTTAAAAAAACCATTGTTTATCCAATTTAATTGCCTTATAAGACTATTTAGAAATAATATATTTACATACAAATTATAATATTTTACCAGCTTAAGGATCCGGTAGAATCATATTTATTAAAACATTTACGTTATTCTCTTTTACAGTTGCTCACGTGTTCGTGCTTTGCCCCCTATTATTGTTGATATATATCTCTCATACTTTCTCTGTAGAACTTAATTTCATTGATTTTTGTTTTCTCCATAATTCTAGGTCTGTTAGTGAATGAGTAATTAGTTGCTTCTATATTGTTATTGTATTGATTGTTGCATTATATTCTTTGTTGCTATCGTCCTATTTTTCTGCCACATTGGGGGCCAATGATTAGTACCATTTCGTGGCGGCACTTTTTTTTCATTTCATTGTTTAAAGTTCCTTTTACTCTTTTTAATGCTGTCGCGACTAGTATTCCAATTTTTGACTGAGGACGAAATGTACTTGCGCAAGCGACCGTATAGAGAACTTGCTTTTTGTACTATACTTTAGACAATTATTAAACCCTAATGAAAATTTACTTGTAATGCGCTCAGTATACTGAGGTATAATATGTTTCCTACAAAATATTTGTTAATTAAACATTTTTCAGGTTTTTCACTCCACCGCGAGTATCTAAAGAGGTTGGCGAACCAATGGACGGTATTAAGGGAAGGAGTGACGCCTGTCCACATAAGGGACCATGTGTGAACTATATTTTAAAGGTATATTATTAAGACATTATACAAGCAGGCCTGAGCCTGTGCCTGCAGTTTATAAGGATTTTAAAGACATATTACATACTATGGGCAAACAAGGCAAAATAAATTAAACAAATATTTAATATTAAAATGTAAATTTTCGTGCGGAAAGCTAAAGAAGGAACAAAATAATTGTTGTGTATATTATATACGATACAACTTTGTTCTAATTATATAAACAATTTTGCCTCATTAGTTTTTAGAACCAGTCAAACACTTAAAACTATGATTTATTGACGGAGTTTATTCCCAGTTCTTCTCTGTTCTACGCCCTTATTTTGAGCACTAGCAGTAAATGTAAATTTAGAATTAACTTTTCTGACTTATTAAGTTACGTGAATAAATTATATTTTTTGAAATTATAAAAAAAAATATGTTTATTATGGAATAAAAGTACAGGTATTACTTATTCCAAGTCATTAAATTTGTATCGGTAGACATCCCTACTCATCAGGCAAGACACTCTTATTATCAAATCATCTTACAAAATGAGTATGGAAAACAACACTTATTTTAAAACAAATATCGCAAATTAATTAGAATATATTATATTCTTATAATACTACACAGGTGTAATAATATAACATAATGTGATTTATTATCGAAATTTTATGAATTAGACGAACAGCGTTTTTCCTCCAATTGATATCGTCTGCAAATTAAAACGTAGTACTGATTTTGTTAATCCATTGTACTTGGAAATAGCATAAGTTACTTAATAATAAGGAAATCGTAGGAATTTCCTGTTGTTGAAGGTAAATTTAGATTTCAGTACAATGTAATTTTAGTATCTTCATATTATCCTATACTACACAGCTTTAACTGTTATAGTAACTTGACCCACAATTTTTTAAGCAATTAAAAATTTCGCATAATATGTTGTTAAAGTATTCTCTTAAAATTTTATATAGGATTTATCTACTCGACAGAAGGTTCGTAATACAGTCGATTTTTCGAAGAAAAAATGATTGTTTCTATTGATCTTTTTGTTCTTGTCACTCTCGTGCTACTTTGAAAACCAAGTGAGAAAATCTTTAGCGAAATCTATTAAGTGCTTCTCCTCAACTCGATGTAAATGTTTATTTATTTTTTTACAGAAATGCATACATTATCCTTACAGACTATCCCAATACGATAATGTCGAGAAAAAATAAAATAAAACATAATAAAGTATATATATAATATACACAATATCGCTACTGTGAATTCACTTAGCGAACATATAAATATGTTACTACTATTTTAATTATTATTTTCAGGGTGCAGCGCAACTGTTCGGAGTAGGCTGTGCCATGTCAATGCTTCGCACCATCATTCCAAGAATATTGACGCCGGCTAAAGCTCTAAAGTCCTTAAAGCTGTCGCATTTAAAACTTGGTGTTTTCTTCGGTGGTTATATAGGAATTTATAGGGTGAGGTATTATTTATCACGGTTAAAACTAAAAAAAATATTAGTGGAGCTATACAGATGTCATTCAAATATTTGACGTTTGGAGGAAGTAAGGTGATCTTCCTCCAACCTTATGAAACCCTCGACTAGTCTAACCACTGACTGGCCCCAGTGGCCCCGTCGAGAAGTTAGCGACTGGGATTTGTATGTCCTTAAGCTTCGGTTTCCTAGAAAAGCGGTGCCGTTATCTAACGGCCGTAATGTAGCGTTGGGTGACGTCACCCATGCGTTGTCTATAAATAACATCGGAGTAGGTTTCCTAGAGAACATGTGTCACCGTAACGTCAAATAGCGGTGCTGTCTTTTGCATGACGGCCTTCATAGCGGTGATAAACAGTAGTTCAACGTTTTTCCCATATTTAATTAATACAATGAGTGGAAACGTGACTTGGACGAGCGAAAATGATTGTTTTTTACATTATGTTAAAAAGTAAAGACGGCCGTTATTAACAACCGTAAAATGACGGCCGTTAGTTAACGGCACCGCTTTTCTAGGAAACCTAAGCTTTAGTCCGAATAACTTAGGGTATGACGTCATCATAGTGATTGTAGCTGTAGATTATAGGTGTCACTACAGACGCAAATGTATTTTATCTATTTATTAGTGTTCCTATAGCTAGTTATATTATTATATATACAATTATACCATACATGACCAAAAAGTGAAACAAAATATAATTTAAAAGACAACATTACAGAAAAATACAGGATTATTAAAATTACTATTTTTATTATAAATGATAACCAAAACCTGTACGTCTAAATATGTAAGTTAAGCGTAGTACGCTTTGTAATTACACTTTATTGTTGTACGCACGTTTACCTTTTAATCATATATTTATTATTACGTCCGTACTGCACTTGCAATAAAAAAATAGTAAAATATTGAATGAGGTTATTTGTTCCTTAACAGTACTGAATAGACTCTTTGTTATGTATTTATTATGAATATTCTTATTACTAATGCCTTTCAATAGAGAATGACGTCATCTAGTCTATTTTACTTTGTGCGGAAAGAGACCCGGATTTGAGGTCGTAGCCGTGTATAATTTTTTTGTTATGGTTACGTTCTTATAGTAATATAGTATAGTAATAATTTTGATACTTTGAAAAAAAATAAAAATATTTTTGTGAATAAATTAAATGACGTGTAATGAAAGTGAAGTTACTAATTTATAGAACAAGAAAATAGGATTTCCACTAATTTATTCAACTTATAAACATGGCTGTTTAAAACAAGAGTTAATTGATTATTCTATATTTCAGCTGATAGTATGTCTGTTATGCCGCTCAACGGGCCGAGACAGCGCGTTACACGCAGTACCAGCGGGCTTCCTGGCCGGAGCCGCGCTTAGGGCTTCGCCCTCGCTGCCTATAGCGCTCGCGCCTCTCACGTCTTCTCTCCAGGTATTATGGCACATTATGTATAAGTTATAGGGGAAATAGATTTAATATAATATATAAAAGATTTTATATAAATACATATATATAAAATTAAGGGCCAAGTGAATTAAAAAATAATTTACAGAGAAAAAAAAATAAGTGTAGCACTCGGGGACTGCCGCGGTAAAGCTATTGCATAGCATTTTATAAACTTATGCAATATAATTATTTATTTATTTTTTGCAGTATTTTTTTTCGTTAATAATATTAATTCAATCTACCACTCTACCAGACTCGAGCAACACGCCTATCCGATCACGCTAAACCGATATGAGACGCAGTATGCGTTCTGTCCTGCTCTAACGCGTATTAGCCGCACCTATGTTACGTCATCGTGTGTTAGGTTTATTTCGTTTCGGAATTTCTTGATTCGGTCGCCGCGCTCAAAGCCCGCGATAAAATCCCTGCAATAGCTTAAAAATTTGTTACCTTCAAAATTAATTATTTTCTTATAGTACTGCAAATCAATGTAATGTCTTTGTTTAAGTCAGCGTGAACTTTGTTAATTTTTGGAGCTCTCTATCGAACCTTGGAACTCCTAATCATTTTAATATGAGAAATTTGTTTTAATTCTGTATTTTTCATAATTTCAGATTCTAGGTTCATGGGGCTACCAGAAGGGTCTCATACCAGAGCAGTGGCCTTTAGTAGAACTAGTCTACTGCATATGCCAGGGTATACTCTTCCACGCCAGGGTAATGCATGAAGACGCCTGTCCACGCTATATCATCAATCTGATGCATACAGTTACTTCTAATAAGTGAGTATTTTGAAATATTGCAATTTTGTATAACAAAGATGAATACATAATCCAGAATACATTTATGTATTTATAAAAAATTAATAAGTGTAATTGATAAAGTATCATTTATCTCTTTCTGTTAAATATTGTTGATGCTGTGATGAAAAGAGACATGGATACTTAAGCTAAAACAATGCAATTAGACTCATTATTTTTTATGAATAAGGGGGAAATTTTTTGTTTCATTTACTCACTTGTAAAACTACATGAGAACGATAGAAACAATAATCTAAAGCTCTATGAGTTAATGGTCTCATTTACCGCTTAGCGCAAACTTGTTACAAATGTTTATTTGACATTTATAATGTCTTCCTTTAAAATCGAACTCGACCCGTGTCTAGAACGTCACTCAACCTTAATCTAATTTTAAGACCAATCGAACCGTTTCTCTATTTGACAGTGCTCAAGCGGAGACTTAAGCATGTGCTACACGGTATGAAACGGCAGTTTGAAACGAAATAAAAGCGAGTTGCGCTTTTCGGCTACACGGTTTAAAACCAACAGTGTCCAAAATAACGTTGCGCTGATAAGACGTCTCCGTAGGGATGTGACATTCTGCATAAAAAATTGATTTTTTATTAATCGATTATTTTTTTATCATGAAAAATCGATTAATAAATAATCGATTTTTTTTATTAATCGATTTTTTCCTAATTTTTGAATCAATTTCGAAATAAACACCCTAAATTTTTTATTTTTCATGGTTTTTTTAATTAAAAGTAAACAATAGAAATTATAAACACAAATTAACGTTTAAGAATAATCAAAATCGAAATTAACTAAATCTCGTTTTGATAGATTTTAGGTAAAATTTGATAAATGCTGAGTGTATGCCTTTTCAGTAGCACATTGCAGTATTTTTGTTGTATTTTTAATTGTATGTAGTCTTGTGCTGCTGAATAAATTTATTTTACTTTTAAGTTATAGTTTTATCATCCTATCAAAAAAACAATACATCTTCAAAGAATCGGATTCAATGTATCGCATTGTAAACATCGTTGTATATCGAATATCCCTAATAGTTCGAGGTCCGGGTTATAAAATACCAGACATAATGTCGGGAGGTGGCAGATAAAAAATCGACTATGATTGATTTTCAATTATAAAAATAATCGATTATTTTAAATATAAAAATCGCGTAAAAAAATCGATTTTTTTTCACATCCCTATCCCAAAGACATGGCAATTCTCTGTATAATTCGAGCAATTCGGTAATAACTTCACGTTCATTTGCTTCTTGTGCCATTGTGCAGAACGTCGTCGTCGCGTGCGTCTACGCTCGCCGCCGCAGCACGACTGCCGAACGCGTGGTTTTAAACAAGCGGCTAGACTGTTTCAAACCAACGCTTTTGGTCTCGGTGTGCTGCCAAGGTCATATTAAGGTTAAACGAAATTTGGCATAAAACAACTATCCACACGGTTTGAAACCAAAGTTTCAAATCGCCGTTTCATACCGTGTAGCACATGCTTTAGACACCTATTAAGTGGCATAAGAAAGCCGAATTTCTCACATTTTCCTAAAAACGGTAAAACGCACTTACTTTGTTCTTATTAACCGAACATGCGTAATTTAATCCCACGAGAATGTGCGTGCTCCTATTTCACCATGCCTCCTGCTGATAGAGGACAAATCTTTTTTATTAATTTATGTTATTATTATTACTTAAGATGTCATGTGGAACATGGTGTAATGGTTGTAGCTCCTTACAAACGTTGTATAAAACAAAACTTGGCGATTAAAAAGAGTGGCGGAGAGTTTATTGCCAGTTCTTCTCTTTCGCTCTACGCCTTTGATTTTAGAACTGGCAGTAAATGTAAAATTAGAATCATTTAATGTATATTTCTTTTTTGACGTTCATAAGTGTACATTGTGTTGCCTATATGAATGAATTGACTTATTTTTCAGAGCGGATGAAATCCAGGGTGCTTTTATCCAGAAAATATTAGCGCATGGCGGTGGCATGTAAGGGATTAGTAGATGGTAGCGTGATAACTTGTGATTTTGTGTAATGAGCATCACATTACGGGTTTCAATGTATTGAAAAATCAAAGAATAGTCCAATAACAATACTTTTCTATAGTTTTGACGAATCAGTCACGCGTATGCGAACGTTATATGTTCGTGTTTCCGTTTAGTTCGAAATACGCGTCAGATTTTCTTAACAAAAATGGATTTTCAAATGAATTCAAGAAATCTGACAGTTTTAAGACCTGTTTGTTTTGCTTAGCAAATGTAAACAAAGATTTTTGTTTTCACTTGTATTGTTACCAATATAGAAATATTGAAATTGACTTAAACTATACTATTAAAATAATATACAAGTTTGGAATTCAAGCGTGGCAAAGGACGCATTTGACCAATTATGGCCAATGCCACAAAATTGTTATAACAGAAAAAACATACTCAAAATTTGTGAAGTTAAATAGGAAATTGTGATAGTCGGGGCGAGGTAGTTTTAAGATTTTGCATTTAGATTTTATTGTAATTTATGGTGTTATAATTATGGGAATTGGTTAGTACACCCGTGACCTGTACAAGTATTCAAAATTCCGAAAAAGATTCCGATCGGATATGCCTATTAAAAACTTATATATCAAAGTATAATCGCTTGTTATAGATATAATATTATGTAGTAAGTGTTATTTCGTCTTATTTCCTATTACATTTAGGGTCTGTTTCACAATGTACGGATAAGTTCTACATAAGTTCCAAATTAGCTATTTATTACTTATTGGTAGGATAAAGACTATTGTTGTGTTTCACGAAAGTACATCATAAGTTATGAGTCCGATGAAGTGAAATAGCACAATTTATCTTCCAAATAATTTATGTGTTGCATAGCTATTTGGTACTTTGTCCATACATTGTGAAACAGATCCTTATTATTTTATGTGAAAATTAGATTAAACTCTAACAATTACTTAGAATACAATTATTTTGTCTTGTGGTTTAAATAATGTCTTATCAGTACCACATTGAATTATATTTATACAGGCCATTATATTATTTAGTTTCTGAGAATAATAGGAAAGATTTTCGGAATTCTGAAAAAAAAATGACTGGGCTCAGAATCTGTTATTAAAGACTATTTTAACCTACTATTTTGAAGGCTAAGTACCTACATTTATTAATTCAAACTGCGCAATTTATAATTCTGTTTAAAACATAATAAGTAAGATGCGGCATGCGTACATATTATGCAAATGTTACTTAAACGAAAAAAAAAACGCTGCGTTCGTTAATATAACGCATCATATCGCGTATTGGTCTAATCACAGTCGAACGGATGCATAATTGTTTCGTCTTTGTTAACATTCTCACCTCCCAGGAAATGAGCGGGTTCATTATTTCGAAAACTTGCCCTATGGCATCAATAGATAGTGATATTACTAACAATTATGGTGAAAACTGTCAACCACTAAATTCTGTTATTATATCGGTTAAATGAGAAAGGAAAAATTTAGTAATTTGTAACTTATAATATAAGAAAATTGCAGTTTTGTTTCCAAAGTTCCCTTGAGTATAATTTACCATTACTAGTAAAGGTAACCTTCCAGGTGGAGTTAAAATACATTTAAATATAAACTAAAATAGCAAACTCGGGGCCCAGTTTTAAGACATCTATAAAGACATTTGATTTAAGAAAAGTTTACGCTAGAAGATTAACTATGATTTAATTTTTTACCAGTATGATGCGACCATTTTAGAACAAATTAATATAGATATAAGAAATGGTTGAAGATGCGACATTTTAAGTGGGTTCTATTTAGGTTTTTTACTTTTATATTAGAGTATTTTCTATTAATACTTTATTGTATTTTCTTAAGTTATTAAATTATTATGTACTAGGGTACAGAGAGTGATTACCATTATTATTGTTATATTTTTGGATTAAATGTTTTTTTATGGCTTATATCTTTTTTTAGTAAAAAGAAACAGTGATAAATCGTATTTTATTTAGCTTAGCGGCATAGTTCCCAATTGTAAGTAAACCTATCTATAAAATGTTGTTTGCTTAAATTGAAAATTATTACAATAATCAATATCAATAAAATATACTTGGCGATTAAAAAGAGTGGCGGAAAGTTTCTTGCCAGTTCTTCTTACCCGCTCTACGCCCTTGACATGCGAACTGGTAGTAAATGTAAATTTACAATTAATTTAACTTCTTTCTGACAATTCATACTGTGTACTTTTTTACCTACATGAATAAAGATATTTTGAGTTTGAGTTTGAATAAGACAATTTTAAGTCTAAATTGAAATGACAACAATTACTGAATACCGGCTTCTATTAATCTTCAATCCACTGATTTATGAACTAGTTATGAAATAACATGACTATATTTTAAATTGCAAATATTTAATAAGAAATTTTTGGAAAACATTTGACTTTTTCTAGTCCAATTCTTCTACCCTTGGACCACTAGAGCGAGCTGAACGAGCACAGCTGGGTCCACCAGCGATATTGTGAAGTTTCATCATAGCTGATTGACAGACTGCTTGCGCCGCCTTCAACTGTTCTTGCAGTTCTGAAGTTGAGGCATCGGGATGAGAGTCCATCCATTTAAGTTGATTTGTACATTCTGTAATTACTTCGTTCTTTTCGCTTTCCGTAAGACGATTTCCGGCATTTTCTACTGCCTGTAATCAGAGATGCAGTATTTTAGTGATATATGTTTGACTAAATAGTTTTGGGAGCCAACCACGGATTTTATGACAATAATTTTTTTTAATACCACAATTGTATCTTATTAATTATTAGTAAGTAGTATGTAAGTATAATAGACCACAAGCCCATGAACAAAAAATACCTGTGAAATGACCCAACGTGAATTACGCTTAGAAGGCTGTTACTATATCTGAAAATAGCTCTGAGCACTATGCCGTCATTTCTGAGCGGTACATGTGAGTACGTGAGTGAATGGACTTTCTCATGTACAATGGGGGAATTTCGACTAATTATTAATGTACGGTTTGTTATAAGTGTATAGATGATTAAAAATAAATGTCGAAAAACCTAGTGCCGTACAAAAGTGATGGTGCCGGAAGTCGGGCAAATTTTTAATTCGACGACAGTTGCAGGAGCAATATAGGTCATTTATTACTGTACGGCATTTGTGTCATTCCTTTTGGACACATATACAGATACTTTACCCGTAAACGCCGTACATATTCCCAGCGGAGCGTCGAAAGCCAAGGGTCGCAACAAGTCTGATTAGCATATAGGTGATGATGATATGAATCAACATAAAATTAAATGATCTTGAGAGTACTTCACAAATAGATAACATTTTCCAGCATGCCGTACATTTTTGTGGAACACATAGGTGTATGGGGCAAATTACTTTCCTCAGAAAAGAGTCATTTTCCGGTGACTTTTATCTGTACGGCAATAACACAGGTTATTAATACTTTAGACAATCTTCAATAAAAGATAAATGCCGTACACTTTCAATAGTCCGCTACCACCGCCTACCAATAAGGGCGTCCCAAAGTTATGGGAAATGAAGGGAAAGTACCTTAAATATCGTAGATAGGGTATTTTACTAAAAGAAGACTTTATGTTATTTTTAAAAGTTATTAATTCTGCATTCAAAGATTTTTTAAAAATTACTTGCCTCGTCTGGGAATCGAACTGACTTAAATGTAAAAAAAACTCCCCTACTTTTATGATGCCAATCGAAAGAATGGCCAAAAACTAATAACTCTTCTTAAGTAACATAGTATTTTAAAAGAAAGGAACAGCGTGAATATATCTTTTTAATCAAATTAAAAACATTATCTATCGTCGGCCTAAAAATCCCCTACGAGTCTGTTACTTTAGAAAAGTTATTAGGTTTTGGCCATTCTTTCGATTGGCATCATAAAAGTAGGGGTTTTTTTTTAATTAGCCGTTCGATTTCCAGACGAGGCAAGTAGTTTTAAAAAAATCTTTGAATGCAGAATTACTAACTTTTATAAATAACATAAAGTCTTCTTTAGTAAAATACCCTATCTGCGATATTTAAGGTACTTTCCTTTCATGTCTCATAACTTTGGGACCCTATTATATATATTTTTGTTAAAAATATTTTTCCTTTACCTCTCTCTGCTGGTAATGATAAGGCTGTAAATATACTTTACAGCCTTATGGTAGTATACTCAGAATGTACAGTTATTAATGACCTTAAGGGACACCTCAAACGTCGTCGAAGTTTTTATCAGCTGTAAAGAATAATCTGGAGTAAAATGTACGGCACTGTTTTTTTTTTATTTATATTTGTTACATAAAAATAACAATAATCTTTGAAAATATTACTCCCCATATTACTCTAGGAGCATTTGAAAAGTCATCTAAATTTCGGAAATTTCATATATTTTTTATCATAATATTTTTATTTGTTACCATTTATAATGAACGGCTATAATGTACAACGGTAATATTTAGTAACATTATGTAAAAAAAACAAGTTGCCGTACATTATTCTCTGATCTTACAGCAGTAAGAACTTGGTAAATCCTGAAATTTCGATAAATATTTAATTACACAAATATTAACTATAATATTGACGGCATAATTATAAAACATTATTGTCCGTGTTAAATAATATTTTGAACATGTTGCCGTACATTTTACAATGACCTTAGGGTATATGGGTGAGGGGTAGGGTTCGACCTGGCTTTGACGCTCGCGGAAAATGTACGGGTTTACGGGTAAAGTATCTGTATATGTGTCCAAAAGGAATGACAAAATGCCGTACAGTAATAAATGACCTATATTCTCCTGCAACTGTGTCGAATTAAAATTTGCACCGACTTCCGGCACCATCACTTTTGTACGGCACTAGGTTTTTCGACATTTATTTTTAATCATCTATACACTTATAACAAAGCCGTACATTAATAATTAGTCGAAATTCCCCATTGTACATGAGAAAGTCCATTCACTCACGTACTCAATGTACCGCTCAGAAATGACGGCATAGTGCTCAGAGCTATTTTCAGATATAGTAACAGCCTTCTAAGCGTAATTCAGTTGGGTCATTTCACAGGTATTTTTTGTTCGGGTTGGGTCTATAAGCTGTACGGCTTTATTTATGTCATGGAAAAGGACTTAATTTTAGTGTAGGTATACCAAAAACCTAAATTATGCCGATGAGTTTGAAGTGGATGCCATTAATACTGATTATATACGGAAATGAATGTCGGCTTCTAAGGGTGTTACCACACCAATCGATCGATAGTCGATAGATGCCATCGATCGATGGTAGAATGGATTAGTCGACTTCGATCGATAGTTTCTACCAGACATCCTAAGAATCCTGTCAATGTCATGTTGTACTTTTATACTTACCGCTTTACAACCAAATAAGTAACTCTCTAACTGATTACGGATTTCAACACGTTCCCTTATAGCATCATCGTCAGCTTTAAACCGTTCAGCATCATGAAGCATTTTATCTATCTCAACTTTGTTCAAACGCCCTTTATCGTTAGATATAGTGATGCGCTCTGATCTTCCAGTACTCTTATCTTCTGCGCTTACATTCAGGATTCCATTTGCATCAAGATCAAATGTTACCTAAGAATTTCCATTATTATAAAACTTGTGAACTGAAACGAAATTGTCTAACATATTAAAGCAACCTACTTCTATTTGCGGAACTCCTCTTGGTGCTGGAGGTATTCCAGCGAGATTGAATGTTCCAAGTAGGTTGTTATCTCGAGTCATCACACGTTCTCCTTCATATACCTTAAAATATGTTGGTATAAATTTTTATTGAAGTGGTAAAAAAAATTAAAAATCAATTCATCGCTCTTCAGTTTACCTGTATTGTTACGGCCGGTTGGTTATCGGCATAAGTTGAAAAAACCTTTTTCTGTGCTATAGGGATTCTCGTATTCCTTTCAACCAGTTTAGTCATTATTCCTCCAGCTGTTTCTATACCTAAGGACAATGGTGTCACATCTACCAGTAAAACATCTTGTAGCCGTTCGTCTTTTGAACCGGTCAGAATTGCTGCTTGAACCGCCGCACCATATGCCACAGCCTCATCGGGATTAATTGATAGATTTAGAGATTTGCCTCCGAAAAAATCCTAATAAAAAACATATTGTGAATACCTAATTTGAGATAGTAGTTGAAAAAATTTTTTTAAGCTGTTTAGAATTATTACTTGTAGAAGCCTTTGTATCTTTGGTATTCGTGTAGAACCTCCAACCATAACGACGTCATGTATTTCTCTTGTATGAAGATTTGCATCTTTTAAAGCACGCTCAACTGGTACCAAGGTTTGTTTAAATAAATCTGAACAAAGCTCTTCAAAGCGAGCTCTACTTAATTTAGAATAAAAATCTATCCCGTCATGCAATGCATCGACTTCTAGGTTGGCTTCAGTGCTTGATGATAGTGTTCTTTTCGCTCTTTCACATGCTGTTCTTAATCGCCTTAAGGCTTTTGGATTTTCCTTTAAATTTTTCTTAAATTTTCTTTCAAACTCTGTACTAAAATGATCAACCAGCCTGTTATCAAAATCCTCGCCGCCTAAATGAGTATCCCCCGCTGTCGATTGAACTTCAAATAGGGAGCCTTCAGATATTTGCAGTATTGAAACATCGAATGTTCCTCCGCCAAGATCAAATATAAGTACATTTTTTTCTCCACTAAGATTTTTATCTAGACCATATGCTAATGCAGCTGCCGTTGGTTCATTAATTATTCTTAGTACATTTATAGCAGCAATAGTCCCAGCGTCTTTCGTAGCCTGTCGTTGAGAGTCATTAAAGTAAGCAGGGACTGTTACGACGGCGTTTTGAACTGTTCCGCCTAGGTAAGTTTCTGCTGTTTCTTTCATTTTTGTTAAAACCATAGAAGATATTTCCTCTGGAGAAAACTGTTTCTTCTGCCCTTTGTACTCGACAACAATCTTAGGCTTTCCGCCATCAGAGATTACTTCAAATGGCCAATGCTTAAGGTCCTGTTGTACTTTTGCATCATCAAACCTACGTCCGATAAGCCGTTTTGCGTCGAATACTGTGTTCTTAGGATTCATAGCTATCTGTTTCAGAAAACGTACGAAAATATTAAATCGTGATTAGACGCCTAAGATACAATAAATATAGAACAAATAAGCTTTGATATAAACCTGGTTTTTAGCTGCATCCCCAATAAACCTCTCCGTTTCAGTAAAGGCGACATATGAAGGGGTAACTCTATTTCCTTGTTCATTTGCAATAATTTCTACCTTACCATTTTGAAATACTCCTACGCAGGAGAATGTTGTACCCAGATCTATGCCAATAGCGGGTATAACCATGTTAAGTCCTTGAGGAAATTCTAAAATAAATATCAATAAAATTGTATAAAATATAAATATTAACTATTGTACGGCCATAGGTCAGCCTTACCTAATAGTAATTGGTAGGTACAACGATTTCGGAGCGTACCTAATCATGTCAATATTTTAGCATACTGATATGGGTATTATAAATGTTTGACTTTCCTAAAATTTGAGCTGCATCATACTTTAGGATTGCGTGGAAACTGGAAACTTTAAATATACGTAGTATGTAATAATAAAGATGTGAGCATAAGCTTTCTATGTGAAGTAAATATGGTAAGTCGATAGTTTGTGCGTTAAGAGAACAGTCTTGTTTAGGTTGCTGAAGGGCAAAATTACCTTTTTGTTGTTGACAACAATGTTACGTCATTATAGTTAGTTATCATCTTAATACTTATATCAACTTGAAAAAAATAAACATATTAATATAATAATTGCTACTTACGTATTAACGCCACCGCGGCAAAAATTCTGTTTGGTTAGGTTAGGTTAGTATATTAATATTTATTATTCTAAAAGTTTATTTAAATAAAATATTAATATACTAACCTTACCTAACCAAACAATAATCAGTATCATCAAATTCGGGCGACGGATTTCTAAATCGTCACCAGAATTTTTGCCGCGGTGGCGTTAATACGTAAGTACCTAACAATTATATTAGTTCGCATATCTGCCACGCCGGTTCTGTTTCCGCACAGCCTCTAGTACATTATTTAATAATAATGATGTGCCCTATTTTCTCGTAGATTTTTCAATAACTTCTCTAGATCATAGGTACATTTTACTGCGATAATTCTTACCAAGTAAGCAGGAAGACTGTTTCAGTGAATGTTTAAATTATTTTCTAATATTTTTGGGTTACATATTTAGGTTAATCATGTATATTTAATATGTGGTAAGTACATGTTGATCAAATTTAAGTAGATGATTTATTACAGAAATATTGACTCCATATCAAACACATATACTATGTTGTTTACATTGACAGCGTATGTCAGTAAACTATAAAGACATAACAAACTTTTCCTTTCTCTATTCCCATCCTATATAATAAAATACGTCTATAAATATTCCATTGCAATGAGCAACATTATGAGTAAATGAATATGAAATATTGTAAGTTTATTTTTCAATAATTATTCTTTAAGTATTTAATAATAAAAGTATTGCGTCTCAGATCCTTTATATTTCTCATTTAGTTATTACCAAAGGATAATAAAACTCCCATAAATGAAACCTTTTAACCTCCTGGTGCGATGCGAAGACCATAACGAAGTGTGGCTGGAAAGTGCTAAATCGTGTCGTGGATTTCGCCTCCTTGCAATCTTCATAATCAAAAAGTGACCATATTTCATTTTAACTTGTTGATAAGCATATTTTTTTTACATATTATGGAAGTAAATGAGGCCATATCTACAGCTTAGTTTAAACTCGAAAATCATTAATTAATTAATCGTATTAGAAACTAAAATTTTACACAACTAACCTTTTCATAATTAAGCTCTAATAGCTATACAATGTTTTAGCAAGAAAAATTACACGTTCATCAAACATTGTTCATCTAATTAGGTATTTTATTACGTTTATTAAAATTGGAACTTTTATTTTTGGTTCATTGAAAAAGTATAAGAAATACTTTGACTCACACATTTCAAAACATGTTGCTATGGTTACTATTGAGTGTTTCGGGATATTAGAGGAAAAAAATATATCAATCTAAATCTATTTATTCAGTACCACATTTCAACGCTTTCCTTTCTTCTTCTTCTTGCTATAATCAGGAGGATGGAATCCCCTGGCTTGTAATAATTCTTGTACATTATGACATGCGTAGTACACGTTATCCATTGCCGCTTCAGTTAGCATATCAACATTACACCTGCCTTTAGCTTTGCCTTTCTTTACTCTTACTCCACCTTTTTTCCCTTTTTTCTTATCCCCACCATCTTCTTTTTCCTTTTTTTCTTTTTTCTTGCCTTTTCCCTTGCCAGCCATGTTTGATGGGTTCAATGTTTGGTTGGTGTGGATTATTGATTAAACAAGTTGATAAATGAAATGTAGATAACTTAAAGTTATATTACAATTTAGTTACGCCTTGTATGTTTAGGGAATGTAGATTTGAAAAAAAACTACATTGTTTTTTTTAGAAAATTTATGTAAAACAATATAAATGCATCTTATCAATAATATAACATGAGCTATAAATTGTATCGTAAAAGAATTCTTTATTTTAGTTCTTCTTTAATTTAGTTTCAAATGACACAATTTTTAAATAAAAATTATATTTTTGTGATAAATAAATATTATTTCAAATTCAAAAAACACTTTTCAAACGTTATATGAACTTATGGTTTAGGTTTTGCATATCACTTCAGGTCATACAATGGTTCTCGTAAAATGTGTTCAACTTCAACTCGATGAAGCACTGATGTACCCACCGCGGGAGTAGCCGCTATGGATCGGCCAGAGTATATTATCTGAAATAGTTAATTAAATATTAGTTGAAGACATGAGTTTGAAAAGGAATTCCATCATTATCAAGTATAAATGACAGAACTATTTTCAAAGGGTTTTAAGAGCATACTACTCAATGCCATTCTAGGCGTTGCAGGTGTATCAGGTGTCCATAAGCGGCTTTATTTAAACCTAATTTTTTATGGCATGACGGTTCTTCGCGATGTTGTTCTTCTGGGTACTATCCAGTGTTAGTTGCGAATACGGAAATAAAAATCTATTGGTTTGACAGAATTCAAACGGAGCTGAGAATTGCTTAATGGCTAGCTAACACTATTAAATAAAAATATTATTACGAGAAATATGTTCGGGAAGATAATTACTAAACAAATAATTGTCAAAGAGCCTATGAATTCGAAATCTAATTCAATTCTTGTTTTAGTAAAGTTAAAGATTTAGTTCAAAATATTATATCAATAAAGACATTCACCTTTCTTCCTAACATGTTTTCAAAGCGGGGTTTGATAAACGTCCACGCTCCCATATTTCGATGTTCCTCTTGACTCCAAATAAATTCTGAAATTATTCTTTTTAAAATATTGTATAAAGCCAAGAACCTTAATAATTTGTATCCACTTACTATAGATAAGCATTTATATATACACAGTGCGGTAATATAAATTTGAAAACTTAATAACAAAAATAATATATTTATGCATGACAGAAATATGATTGTGACAAGATCCAACGCTAGTCCCCACACTATTCCCCTGTGTTGTGGGTCATTAGATTAAAAAAATTCCGTGGTACGTAGTGCACGTTTAAAAGATTTTTTTAAAGTAAAAGTTTTGTGTTACATCTAATCAAACAAAAGCCGTATCATGTAATGTATTAGTATTAAAAAGCCTTAAGAAATAAGGCATAGCTAATGGAATGATTTCGGTTCAAAGATATCGCAGTCAAGTTGTAATTATTATTCTCGTAATGTGTGTAATGCCTGTTCTTAATAGAGGCTAGAACAGGCATTACACAATTTACATTACGAGCTAAAAAAATATGTCAAAAACTATACAACTTTCTTCTAATCAAGGAAATCTATTGAACAGGCCAACGGGAAATGAGACAGGGGAAATGACGGCCAGAGCGCAATGTTGGACCAATTGCATTTCAACTTTAACTGGGTTATTGGAAATGGGAATTCCGTGTTAAATCTATTTTATTTGATCAGTTGATATATTTGTATTGTTAGTAGACTATCTGAAGTTGAGCATGATTGACATTAAGACAAATATTTAGTTGGTTTGAATATTCTGTGATCATTTCCTTTGCAGTTTTCAGTTGAATAATAATTTTGTGCCAAAATTGATCTAACGTAGTAATTTAGTTTTGCAAGTTGATCTAACGTGTAGGGACTACTAAATTACAGTTCACCTGTGCACATAGTGCACGTTTAAAACAAAAGTAATATAAGCCATATAAAAAATTAAAAAAATTCGTAAGACCTTAAGATGTTTGCGTGAGTGTACGAGTATCCATTTATATTAGGATGTGTGTCCATATTACTCACTCTATATGGTCTGATTTAGTTTTTGCAAGCTCAGAATCATACCAAAACATGTAGTAAGGCTTCTGTAGAATCGAAACCCAAATCGGCAAACTTTTTATGTATTTTGTGAGTTTATATCTGGATAGTTTGACTTACTCACAATCCGAAGATCGGGAGATTTTATAATCGAAGGAGTTTATTGAGTTGGTTTCTAATTCGGACACTAAACTAGACCCACATTTTGTCCTGCAGAACGTAGAATAAAAATAGTCGGGGAAACGGTAATTATTGCAGTGCTATTAATCTATGTTAAATACTAAAGTATTGTTCAAAGAAGAATGGGTTGAAGCCAATTAAAAATAATTTATTATAAATAACGTGGCGCTTCAACCTTTTTAGGTCTGGGCCTTAGGTTTCTGAATCTGTTTCATGATCATTTTTCAATCTATTAGGCAAGCAAGTGATCAGCCTGTTGTGCCTGACACACGCCGTCGACATTTTTGGTCTAACGCATGCGTGTCTCCTGACGATGTTTACCATCACCGTTCGAGTGAATGTTAAATGCGCACATAGACAGAAAGTCCATTGGTGCACAGCCGGGGATCGAACCTACAACCTCAGGGAGGAGAGTGGCAGTGCTAGAGAATACTGCTGTATTCCGCGTTTACCAAAGACAAAATTCCAGAATTGCTTGAAATGAGTAAAGGTAAGTGAGTACTTGCTTCTAGCATTGCTGTATCGATCAAGTTCCGTCTGTAGTGCGTGAACCGGGAAAGGACAGAGTGACTCGACTCTGATAATTGCAACGTCATCTATCTTGTTCTTCACCCTTTCTTTGTGTAGTTCGTAATAATGTTTGCCACTGACTAATATGACGCGTCTCACGCGTAATGGATCTGCTATGGAATCACCTGAAATAAATCATAAAATCCGATTTTGGTATATCGCATATGCTTCGACTCGAGCGCTTACAAAAACAATTAAAGGGTTTCTACTTTTCGCCAGTGGCATCGCGAAAAATCATTGTCAACTAACAAAACCAGATTAGAGCATGGGAATGTTGTCAGGAGAATCGTAGAAAAATTTATTGATATATCGTTTGTCTTAAAGATGTTTAAGAATCAGGTTGATTGCCCCAACCTTTTAACTAAATTTAATTTTCGTGTACCCTCTAGATACCCAGGCATCCCATTTTATTATTATTATCCAGATTGAGCATTCTGATAAACGAGCTACGTCTGAATATCTATAGTGGCTCACCTGACACTTTGAAATCCTTTAGTTTTTATAATTTATGAATCAATATATTGAAATATCTTTCGAAGTGTAATATACCATTTTCCTATATATAATTTCTTAAGATGTAATACGCATAAAATATAAGTAAATATTTAATATTTTCCTATTAGAATAAACAAATGACTTACCAATCACAGGTTTGAAGAATGTTCCCGGAGCGAGGTCAGAAAGTGGGCTGACCGCGTCTGAGGATCGCAGTAAAATTTTCGGAGCCACCACAACGAGGGGCTTGCGGTAGTTCCTTACTACCTATAACAAACTTTGTTTTAATTTATGTTGAAGTTTGCCAAAACTAAAAACTTATTTTTGCCGGCAACACTTGCAAGCTTCCTGGCGTAGCTTGTGTTTATAGCCGGCTGTTATTTTATATTCAGACAATGGCTCTGATAGATTCCTATATGTCAAAAATGAGATAAATTCTATTAACTTTAATTGAAATACACCTTTTTTTCTTTTTTTTGTATGGAATCTCGCTGTTGTCCTTAAGGGCCTTTACAGCCCAGCTCGGACTATTTTGGCGAGCGTAGCTCGGCCTGAGTGGGCGTTTATCCCACGACTAGCGCAAGGGCGTCTCCTGTAAGACTCGAACCTCAGCTTGGGCCGTCGCGGGTTGGTCAATCGCCTGAAGGGCAGGACGGAAGCTCACTGGAGTGAGCGAAGTACGTAGTAAAGGTCCTCGCCTTCTCCGGTGCGGTTTTTTACCCTAATCTGCTTTTGGCAATACGTGAAGTACACCTCACCTGTCGTCTCAATAAGTGGAAATACTGCGCAGGTGTAGTCGGATTAACTACGTGCATACACACAGCCTCTGAGTCGGGGCTCGTCTCCGAGCTGTCTGTCATCTGGAGGAACCGTTCTATGCGACAGGATGAGTGTTCAGATGCGGCACCATCGTAGCCGTGAGGTAGAAGCATCACGAGACCGTTGCTTCGGACCCATTTTGCTAGAAAATTCATATACAAGAATGTTTAACAAGTGCTTGTATGTAAATATGAATAAAAGATTTAACATAAATTTCTATACTAAATATAATTAGTCAAAGGCTAAATCTGTCGATATTAGATTTATGTATGGACTGCACTCAGATATTCTTTCTTCATTCTTTCACTTATTTAGTACTAGCCACCCGCCCCGGCTTCGCACGGGTGCAATGCTGATACTAAATACACTACAGAAAAACTGTGAACGTTGTAAGTATATAAAAACATAGCGGCCCGCTCCGGTTTCGCACGGGTATAAAATATATAGCCTATGTGACTCACCGAAAAAATAATTAAAATCGATCCAGTACTTTTGATTTATTCATTACTGCCATTAAATTTTGATAAATCTCGTAGGGTTCAGCCTGCGTTTGCAATGTAAGCGGAAAAAATGTAATTATTTTCGACATCACATTAGAAACCTCAAAAGTAACAGTACTTCTCCACTATTTAATGGATGTTATTATACATATAAACCTTCCTTTTCATTCTATCTGTTAAAAAAACCGCATCAAAATCCATTGCGTAGTTTTAAAGATTTAAGGATACATAATTACATAGGGATATAGGGACAGAGAAAGCGACTTTGTTTTATACTATGTAGTGATTATTAGCGCGGTAGTAAATATATAACTAAAATCCAACCTCTGCCTTGCTAATAAGTAGTATAAGTGCAATTACTGTATGTAATATGGGTGTACTAATTTTGCGCAAGATACGTGATAACAGGAACCTAATTAATTCATAAATAATTACCTTGATAATACATGGCTTAATTGGCTGTTATACTCGTAAAGTGGAAAATTAGTTTCGGTTTCCAAGGTTTGGATTTTTTGATACTCAAGCATAAGCTGTTAATGTAAGCTATTAATATACGAAATTTATAAACCAGTGTGGTGGTTTCAAATATAAATATTAGGTCCTTACATATGAAATTGGCGTATTTCATACTGGCCACTTTAATCACGATGTTCTCCTCTTTGGTAAGGAATTCCAAATTCAAATTTGTACAGCTATTTACTCATGTATTTGTGCTTCGATGACCGTCATTCATTTGTTTTTTTCTTCTGTTTTTTTCTGTTTGCGTCACTAATTTTACAAAATGGAAAACATAAAGTATCGCATTATTTACGAGTACGAGTTCCGCCGTGGCACTAGTGCTGCGGAAACGACTCGAAGGGTGAATGATGTGTATGGCGGTCATGTTGCAAAAGAAAACACAGTTCGTTTTTGGCTCCAACGTTTTCGTTCTGGAAATTTCGACCTGCAGAACAAGCCCCGTGGACGGCCTGAGACCCAAGTTGATAATGAAGTATTGAAGGCTATTGTGGAAGCGGATCCATCGCAAACCACGTCCGAGTTAGCTGCAGGCTGCGGTGTTAGTGATAAAACTGTTTTAATTCACTTGAAGCAAATTGGGAAGATTAAAAAGCTTGAAAGATGGGTACCTCACGAATTGACTGAAGCAAACCGGCAAACGCGCGTCGACTGCTGCGTTACATTACTGAACCGGCACAATAATGAAGGTATTTTAAACCGAATCATTACCTGTGATGAAAAATGGATTCTTTACGATAATCGGAAGCGCTCAGCGCAATGGTTGGATCCTGGCCAGCCAGCCAAATCCTGCCCCAAGCGAAAATTAACCCCAAAAAAGTTACTTGTAAGCGTTTGGTGGACTAGTGCCGGTATTGTTCATTGCAGTTTTCTCAAATCTGGCCAGGCTATTACGGCTGATGTCTATTGTCAGCAATTGCAAACCATGATGGAAAAGCTAGCGGCTAAACAACCTAGGCTGGTCAATCGCTCCACGCCACTGCTACTTCACGTCAACGCTAGACCACACACTGCACAACAGACGGCTACCAAATTAGAAGAGCTTCAATTGGAATGTCTAAGACATCCTCCGTACTCCCCGGACCTTGCTCCAACAGATTACCATTTTTTGCAAAATTTGGACAACTTCTTGCAAGAGAAAAAATTTCACTCTGATGGGGCAGTACAAATCGCCTTCACAGATTTTATTGATTCCCGTCCGACTGGTTTTTTTAGTAAAGGGATCAATGAACTACCTATGAGATGGCTAAAGTGCATAGAAAACCATGGTTCATACTTTGATTAATTAAATATATTATATTTAAAAATATTCGACTTTTTGTTCCTCCCATACAAAACGCCAATTTCATATGTAAGGACCTAATATTACAAGCAAACTAAAATATTTAAAAATCTGGTTTTTTGGTAGATTTTTATAGTTATTTTATGAAAAAAGTTTATTTCATATCACAATGATTAAGGGTGTCCAAACAGAAAAGATGTTATATAAATCCGGGTGAAACCACAAGGCATAGCTATATATATCAGTGGCGCTACAACCTCTTTAGGTCTAAGCCTCAGATTTCTGAATCTGTTTCATGATAATTTTTCAATCTAATAGGCAAGTAGGTGATCAGCCTCCTGTGCCTGACACACGCCGTCGACCTTTTGGGTCTGAGACATGTCGGTTTCCTCACGATGTTTTCCTTCACCGTTCGAGTGAATGTTAAATGCGTACATAGAAATAAAGTACATTGATGCACAGCTAGGGATCAAACTTACGACATCAGGGATGAAAGTCACACGCTAAAGCCACTAGGCCAACACTGCTCTACAAGGCAAAGATTATTCTTATTATATCAGTGTAGATTTTCCATTGAAAGTGAATAAAGCGTATTCCAAATTGATATGCAATATTATTCAAAACTCCGACGTTCGTCGACATATGAATTTCATTTAAGTTTCAATGTGTAGCGTATGGAAAGCGAACAGGAAAAGAAATATTTGCCTTCTATTCTTAATTATAATATGCATATAGGCATAGTTTTTGGCAATTCATGAAACGCAGGCGACGGCGGCTTTATATCTAATATATAAAATTCTCGTGTCACAGTTTTCGTTGCCATACTCCTCCAAAACGGCTCGACCGATTCTCATGAAATTTTGTGTGCATATTGGGTATGTCTGAGAATCGGACAACATCTATTTTTCATCTCCCTAAATGTTAAGGGTAGTCCACCCCTAAATATTTTTTTTTTATTTTTAGATATTTTTTTCTGTTTTTATTTTTTTATGATACAGCATTAAAAAATACATACAAACCCCTAACTTTCACCCCTCTACGATCAACCCCTATTTTTTTATTATAAATGTATATGGCAAAACGACGTTTGCCCGGTCAGCTAGTTTACTAATATAATATATTAGTCGTAAATGTTAAAGTTTTAATGAGTATTTTTATTCTATTTTTTATTTGACAATTATCACGATAACACTTAGACGTAATAGAGCGGACTTAATGTTTCTACATGCTTTATGGAGCAATCATAAGAATAGTATAAAATAATTAAATTAATGTACCCGATTATAGAACTCATCAAACTGAGCTGTTTCATATTATGCTCAAAATAATATGCGTAAGGTATTGAAAATCTGTATAATAAGGAGAACGCGAGTCTCGACTTCTATATTTACTCCAAACGCGTTTTTTCGTAGGAAATAAGCACATTGGAAACTCCCATACAGACCTCACCAAATAAATTATTATTAGTAGGTACATTGTCTTTGTTTATTTGGTGTAATCCGTTTTGGCTATATTTTTATTTAAAACTTGTTAATTTTATCTATTTAAAAAAAGATAATATTATTAATAGTTACCTTAATATTATGAAGTACGTATTAAATAGTTTTGTCCTTATCACTGTTACGTTACTTTGAATATACACATTTTATGATTTTTTAAGGCTTATTCATAGAATTTAAATAATGTAGTTCAAACGTCACTATTTGTAGCTTTAAGTGCGTTTCTAAACAAGAAAATTTTAAACAAGATCAAAAAAGATTCTTATAGGGTAGCTTACATTCTCCCGAAGCAATAAAAGCGTCGACAATGATTTGAGCACCGTTATAAAAATCTCCAAATTGAGCTTCCCATATATAAAGATTTTCTGGGTTGTCGTACGCCATACCGTACTCAAAAGCCAATACTGCTTCCTCTGACAAAATAGAATTCGCTACCTGAAAAAAAAAGAATTTTAAAATAGTCGATATTGTATGATACATTTTCTATCGGTGCGATGTTCCGATATTCTAGCATTTCGCGTTCAAGGAAGAGAATGTTGATCGAAATTAAAATGGACGGTTAACAATTTCTATCTTAATATATATATTTCTTCTGTGCGTGTGTATGTGACTGAACTCCTCTCAAACGACTGGACCGATTTTGATGAAATTTTTTGTGTGTGTTCAAGGGGATCTGGGAATGGTTTAGATTCACAAATCAGCCCGGCAGATGGCACTGCAGTCGGTACTTTCATACTTTGCTTAATATCCTAATCGCTTTAAATATCATGCAGGACAACGTCTGTGGGGTCCACTAGTATTTTTATATTATTTTAGCTATTCGAAGGGAGAACGCTGCCAGTATCTTCGGAACACAAAAGGGACTCCTTTTAATAATATATTTTAGTTATTATATTATATTTTTAAGGGTTATTAAGTATTAGATACTTGTACTGTCTCCAGAATTGACTAAGATGATATGATTAATTATATTATGTTATATATTTCTATAATAATAACAATATCATACATAAAAGAGATCAAAAGTTTACAGAAGCAAAAATTAAAATATGTAATTTCTTATACTACATTCTTTTCAATTTAAAACTCTCTTGCGAGGATGATACAGAAAGCATGGCCTGCACGAGTTCACTGTCTGACACGACTTTATAGGCCGGGAGATAGTGACACGACTTTATAGGCCGGGAGATAGTGACACAACATAGTGGGTCTGGTGATTTTCGGAAATGGCTGCACGACGGTGATTAACTGTGCAAAAATTAGCCTGGTACAAATGGTTGTTTTTTTTTAAATTAACGCATTCGCGTCGGTATGGCGGGCTGTAAGTCACTCCGGAAAAGTATGGCATGACACTGCCGACTCTTATTTTTTTTTATGGACTATCGGAAAATACTAGAATTTTTGTGGAACAAATCGTTTGAAAGTCGTAATTAATCCGACGAGTTCGACTAACGCCCACGCCCTTGGGCAGCCGGTACCAGCGCTATGAACATCATTTTTCTTTTTTTCATTTCGTAATAAGACCCCTGAAGAACAGCCATACTGGTACATATGACCCACTATTTTGTGTCACTATCTCCCGGCCTATTATGTGTGATCATATTATTTTTGTTTACGTGAGTTTCATACATTTAAAATAAATTTTAAATCGCGCATTATATTAAAGATCAATCGATTGACGTTTCTGAGTAGCTTTATTCAATTACAGAAGTCTATTTTGATTCCTAACAATATTTTATTTGGTTTTGAAGGTAAAAAATGCTACTAATACAGAAATGTTATGGCCAGACGTAATATTTTAAAATTATATAAACAACGGGCTTTCAAAGCTAATAAATAACTTTTGCGATAAACAAAACTGAAATATCTCGTCAGAGTTAGCAATTTGTGATGGAAAATATTGGAAACTCCGCGACCGAACATAAATAATGCATAAGGAAAAAGATGTATTTTTATCGCCCGCGACTTCTTCTGCGAATAATTTTAAAGATTTTTATATTTAATCATCGATAGTAAACATGATTTCGTTCTATCTTTACGAAATTGAGGATGCGCTTCGGTTAGTTTTACTCCAAGTGTCACCAACATACAAAGACAATGGTCCTACTAGAACTATACACATGGCCAGAACTTTTCAATCTGCTGACTCCCAGAACCAATAATGGGATTCTCTTCACACAATCTGTTCCTCAAAATTAATTTAAGAATAAATTAAAACTAAGTATCTCTTTTCATTGTTATAATTAATTATTTTTGCCGTCTTCGTAAATTTCCTATTATAATGTTATAATTTGTATTGTTTCTTAAAAATGAAAGGATTATTCTAACTTGTTTAGTTATTCGCAACCATTATGAGATCTTTTCTCCTTTCGGAAATGATAACACTCAATTTATTTATAATAATAACGTTAAAAAGTTACTTTCTTGTTTAAATAAATCATTCAATGAAATAAATTTGCGTTTAAATTCGTTAAAGAAGTTTTATAAACTTGCGGTAACTAACCTCCAAAAATCCCTTCTGCTGATCATCAATGTTGTTGAGTGGGATGTGTATGGTCTCCGTATTCTGGTCCACAAGCATCACGTGTCTATGAGAGAAGGTTCCACGACCTACGTCCTCACCGCTCAGGCGCACGTGACGACCTTCCATTAAAAGAGATCCTGGAATTTTTTGAGGTATTTATTTTGTTCTTCATTACTAATGTATAGAATCATTCGTTATTTATTCAAACTTGCGGTCTGTCTCTGTTGAGAATGGCTGGATCTTCTTATATGCCAACAAATGTAGTCTATGTTGCTGTTCGATAGTAAAGTTGTTCAATCTAACGGCGATTTTTGAAATCGATTCAGTAGTTTTTGAGTTTATTCGTTGCGAACATACAATTTGATACATACATGATACATAACATTCCAGTTTTTATACTTTATCGTAGCTTTGTATCGTTGAACACGCTAATCTTAGGAACCACTGTGTCAAAGAAAAATCTGTGTTGGATAATTCATTTATCGAGGAAGCTGTTAGTTACGACTATTATTAACTTTTAATAAAAATGATACAACTTTATAAAAAACACTTTTTAAGGATGTATTGTCCCTACTAATATTAGAATATCTAACCATCTATTTTTTTAAACAATATTTGTTGCTTATTAAATCTTTAATAACATAATCGCGCCTCGTGGCATATACCTGCGTGTCGAATATTTACGAAAAAAATGCTAAGCTCAAATTTAACTTCGCTAAGTCTCAAGAGTTTTACGTACAAAACTTCATCGGATGTAAGAGCCTAACTGCTAATGGATTTGAGCAATTTTGTGACGACACTCGAGACCTTTTTTACTACTTATAATTTACCAAAAGCCATTGCCTCCGCCGTTGACCAGTCAACGTCCTTTTCTTGTGTTATCTTGCTCAATCTATTTTTGACGTGGGTCTTCGCAAGTTGAGGATGAATGTTCTGAAAATTTGCAAAAGAAATCGTACACATAAGTAGCCACAATTGCCAATTTTTGTATATTATCACTGTTCGAACGAATATTCACAATATTTAATTTTGTACAGTTGAATATCGGTATAGATAAATAATATAATAAAGATACCCGAACTTGAAATAAAATTGTTATTTGCGTACCACTTAAAATGCCGTTTGGCGAAGGAGTAAACATTTTGAAAGACATTTAACTTTGAACTTAAGCTCATAACTTGCGCATAACTTTTACTATTTTGCATAAACGATGCAAAATAAGTGAGGTTGTTTTCACGATATTTGACAATTTTTATAAGGATTTTAATAAAATAAATATTTTTAACACTTGGGGAAAACGTTGGGACTGAATCCTGTGTACAAGTTCTGGCAATTTCACTACTGCCAGTACTTCTGAGCTAATCGCACACCACGTTGTTATTGAATTAAAGTGCTAAACGCCCGGGTATTCTGAAGCAATATTTTCGAAGATTTTTCTAATAAATGTACTCTTTAAACATATTTAAATGCAGTATAGGAATAAATCAGATATTACATACACAATCGAACTAATTAATTGTAGAACAACTCGTTCATTTTAGTCTACAAGAATATTATCGCTGCTGGAATATTGACGCATGGGGATATGTTCGGAAATTTAACATACCAGTTTTTGGAACAGGCTCTACGTGTAAGTAAGGAGATACTTAAATACCTATCACGAATTTAATATATACATATATCCAATATTAATATTTTGACGAACTTTGTAGCGTTTAATAAACTGTTGGAAAATTATGGTTATAGTTCAAAAGCTTCATTTGTCAAAAGATGTCAGAAACTGTAAAATCATTTCTTATTTTAATTTCTCTAAAGCGTAGCGAAATGGCGTTTTCATCACGGTCATTAATTCCGAGTGAAGATTTATAATGCGACGGGGTTTTAGATGCCTTACCAAATATTAATAGGAAAAAGTTAGCTTCAGGCAATATACTACTAAAGTTTTTAGTTTAGTTTTATGTTCAGCGGAAAGTTTTTCAGTTAATCTCATCTTAATAAGTACAGCGGTATCGACAACAATTAAATATCTTCAGTACTATTATTATTGAAGGGCGATGTAACTTCATATATTTTAATTACCATTAAAAAAAAACTATTTACTTTATACAGTTCTCGGTAGATATCGAATATATCAAACCGTGGTAACTAAAAATAACAATATATCATCGTGAAATAATGTAGCCTTCTTTATTATTTGTTTTATTTCCTTTGATACATCTTAAAAAAGGTTAATCAAAGGAAATAAAACACGATCATTTATCTAAGAGAAAATAAATTTTCAGAATTACGAAGCAAGAGACCATTACTGAGTTAGAATGATTCTCTCACAAAACTGAACAGTCTCTCCTATAAATATCTTTATTTGTTGTCTTTTGTGGGTAAAGACACGACGTAATAAAACACCGTACTTTAGAAGTAATAAATTTAACAATTAAATACATTTTGCACATTCAACGAAAGTTTAATTTTAAATTATCCTCAATATCCTTGTATATAGGCAATATGCCCGCAAAATTAAAATAGGCAAGCTGAAATCTAATTCTCAATAGAATATAATTATTAAATTTTTGTAGATTAACGAATATTTAAACTATCTTTTTTGTTAGAATGACCCTAATACAAACGTTATCCCAACTCAGAATTAGTTTCAAATAAGTTATTAGTACTATTAAACTTACAAATTCGCTAGGGAGACTGACAGAGGCTTTGGCTACAGTTTTCAGTAATTCAGTGTTGACCCCCGTGTCCCATACTTCTACAGCCTTTGGAGCCGCACCCATTCCGGACCACTGCTCTTGATAATACGTCACCTGAAACACATTTTAGCTTGAAAACATCGAACATTTAAAAAAAACCACAAATTCTTTAAATGGTTTTAAGCGATACATGTAATGCAATATGTTATTGCTTTTAATTGTAGTGAGTTTTTATTTTATATTTGTATAATAAAGTGTTAATAAAAAATAATTTTATATACAAAATATATATTTATTGCAGTTTTAGTGAATTTTATTATTATTAATGTTCTAGAATGTATGTATTATTTGTATTACCTTTTAAAAACTGTGTTAGAATTTGTTTGTCACTAAGTAACTCGTTAATAACTTAGATTATGTGTAACAGTTGTCTAACTTAAAATAAGGTACAAATACTGAACTAGTCAAGGAAAAAAGTTTATATAAATACAAAACAAAAAGTTGCGTCTATACAGAACAGTGCAGTACAGTGCAGAAGATAAATTTATTTAACGCTAACGATACGGATAAAATTTGATATAGTGATAGCCGGAAAACAACTTGAAGTTACCGTTTACACTCCAGCAGTATGACATAACTATAGTGGTACCAAAAATATGGTAACATATAACTATTACCCAATATTTACGATACATGTAAAAGGGTTGATTCCAAGAAATTGGCTTTATGCCAAAAATAAAATCCTGTATCAGCTCTTAACTGTAAATGAGAGCACAGTATTTCCTTAGTAAATAATCATAAAGTAGTGTACTGTGCTTTCGATGTTTTCATATATAGTTTAGGATTATTCATAGTAACACGGTTTCACTTTGAATTGACTTTCAATAGACACAATAGTTCCCTTTATAGCCATAATTTATTATTTATCTCTGTGTTAATATTTATATTACATATAAATAATATTGTTTAAATACCTTAGTTTTTTATGTGATACCGCAAGGTTTAAAAATATTAAGGGTCTGTTTCACAATGTACGGATAAGTTCCAAATTCCAAAAGCGCTATTCGTCACATAAAGTCCATCATAAGTTATGAGTCCGATGAATGTCAAATAGCACAATTTATCTTCCAAATAATTTATGTGTTGCATAGCTATTTGGTACTTTATCCATACATTGTGAAACAGACCCTAAAACAAAGAAAATATTACAATAATTTTTACACAATAAGATAGGTTCAAATCGATGGCTTAGCCGAAGGTGACTTACGGTGAAGAGATACTTACTTCTGGTTGATAGTTATGTGCAATTTCGTACTGCGACTGTAAGAACTTATGATAGTCACTGTTAATTAATTTAACGTCTTCTTCAGACACTACACCTTCGGATATTAACTTATCTGTATACACATCCGGTATAGATCTGAAAAAAAATAGTACATAAACATAATTAATATACTTGTTGTGTACTCATATGTATGTGGAATAATTTAAAACAAATAATTAAATAAACTTTTCAGAGTATATTATATATGCCCGTACTAAATTATTTAAAAAATACTTTAGTACGGGCATACCTTCCTACCTTATGTTATTTTTTTAAAGCATAGTATGTAACAAACAATTTTGTTTAAAAATTCTAACGAATTTTTTTCAATGATTAAATAATAGAAAGAGATAAGAGTCAAGTTATTTTAGAAGGTTTTATCAATAAAAATACTCACTTTCTACTATGAATAAGCTTGTAAATAAGTGGGTTTGTAAAAGTTGGATCGTCAACTTCGTTGTGTCCCCATCGTCGGTAACAGTTGTAGTCAATGAACACGTCTTTGCGAAATTTTCTTTGATATTCAAAAGCAATGTTCGTGGCCCTCGCGACCAGCTGAAATGTTTTAAATAAAATTAAACATGCTGTAGGTACGTTTACTTTGCTAATTAATTCGCGGAATTTAGTAATTCGTGGTAGTATTAAAATATCTTAGGAAAGTAGGACATAATTGGTTAAATACGGTTAAAAGATGTAATTTTTTAAGCCCGTCTAAATAAACCTGTAAATTGAATTTTTCTTTGCAGCTTTGAATTAAACTGATCTTAAGCTTTATACCACATACCCTGTTATATGATATTAAATAAATTTTTAGGAGACTAATTACTGGATAGAATAGAACTTTATGTATAGTGTAAACAAAGAGAGTTGTTTTAGCTTCGAGATTTTTTTGGTTGTTAGGTGGCTTTTAAAGTCTAATTTTTGAATATTAACAGACAATTTAAAACATATGGGTTACAGATAGCTTTCGCTAGATTGGAATTTATTTTACAGATAAATTCTTAAAAAAATATTTCATAGTTTTATTTCATATATTTTATTCATTTAGTTAAAAAGACGGTCTGTCCAAAAAATGTATACCTCATGTGCTAAAAATAAATATCACATAGAAATGTACAGATATAATTTGGTTCATATTTTTACATTCATTCCTACTAGAGTACCATTCCCGATATCGTTTAAATAATCAATATTATAACTTTTAATCTATTTTCAACACGAGGCTTTAGTTATTGCTAGTTAATGCCTCTTGGGTCTTGGATAATTAAGTTAACTAGACATCGCGCGGGTGGTTTAATGATCACAATTTTCCGAGTCATGTCTCAGCTTTCATGTTATATAATAAGTTTAAATAAAATATGATTTGTATGTTTTTTCTGTCTGGTTGAGATTTTTACGACGCTTCTATGTGTTATACTTACGCATGCAAATAATTAAAGTATTTTTATTAATAATTTTCACATATAAGCCTTATTTTAGTGTTCTTGACAAATGTTTAGTAAAAAACAAGACCTTAATCGAAGCTATTGGCGTTACAACCTTTTAGGTCTGGGCCTCAGATGTATCTGTTTCATCATAACTATTTTTTTTCAAAAAGGCAAGTAGGTGATCAGCCTTTGGTGCCTAACACATGCCGTCGACAGGCATGCCGATTTCCTCACGATGTTTTCTTCACTGTATGAGCAAGTGATAAATGCGCACATAGACAGAAAGTCCATTGGTGCAGAGACTAGGACCGCTCGCTGAAGACAGTAGATCAACACTGCTTCTTCATCCAAGCAAGGTTATTATAATTTATCTTTATTATATCTGTTAAATTATATGCATTATAAATAATCATCACAATGGTCTTATTGCTCTTTTACTATACAAATAATTCTATGTTAGTTTATTACATATTTCAGGACCAAAATTATTTACTTATCGGTGTAAAAGTGTTTCATAAACAAGATACCGTTAAAATATATTAATTATTATTTTACGCGCCCAAGGTCAAGTACTGAGCAAGAGAATTAATATATTTTTTACAACTTGATCATAACGAAGGCAATTTATTTATATTTATTCGCTCTTAAGTGTGAGCTAAGAGGAGTTCGTTAAAGCTTTATTAAAAAGCTTCGTTATTAAATTAAATTTACGGTTTTCTGAAGACTAATGTTAATTATTGACAATTGTTACTCTGTAGAGAATATTAGATTTTATAAAAGTATTTGGGTTTCACTTAGGGTGCTTTCACTATATATAAAATTTATATGTGAGCTTTTTTAGGTGAAGTTTTACAAGGAACTGTAAAACTTATGTATACAGGGTTAATTTCAGAAGTCAGTTTTTGTATTTATCGTATGCTATAAAAAATACTCCGAACTCCGTTTTAAATAGCTACGCCAAAAGAATTTGTATCAATTTTCATAAATAGATAGTTAAGAGGTGATAGGGGTGACTATTTGTGATTACGACAAACCCAACAAATCAAATTCTTAGGTCTAATACAAATAATTTACGTCCTCATCTATGGATCGTTTACCTTTAGAATATAACGCAAACTATCAATACTAGATATACATATTTGAGTAGAAATCACATAAGAAACCTGAATTTTTCAACTCTGATTCTGAACTCATTTATAATTTGGACGTACGTGTTTAAAAGTGTGTTCATAAAAGTCTTTATATATTATTTTTAACTGTGTATGTTTTTGTTTATGTATTGAGTAATATTAGATATTATTATTATACTAACTGTGGAAATACTGGACATCAAATAATTGTCATATATACAGGCTGGTCAAAAAGTCGATCAAACGCAAATAGGGGATAGATGAGGTCATCAGCTGCAAAAAATTGTTCTACGGGAGGTCTCTAAGCTCAAACCCTGCAGAGTTATGATTTATTTTGCGTATTTATAAGAAAATTGACTTTTTTTTAACAATTCTTAAAATTCGAAAATATCTCTCGTAGAACAATTTTTTGCAATTTGCGTTTGATCCACGACTTTTTGACCATCCTGTATATTTTATCTTAAAAACATAACATGACTTAATTTGCGTAGTATCCATTCAAAGTTTCGTAGTAGCAGAGTCCGCCTTCAATACTACCAATTCGACACATTTGGAGAAACTCAGTACAAACACAGCGTCTCTACTCTGTTACTTCCAATATTGACACCAATTCCAAAGTTTTTCTATTAAATTTCGATTGGGAACCATAGCCATATGGTGTCGCATTGGGACCTCGTGTCCTCTTAACATTGAAGTCGGGATCTTAACCGCAAGACTTCCATTTATGCTATGTATATAGCGGTCAAATAGTTTACGCCTACCTCTGGATGATCCCCATTGACGTGAATAACGGGCACTGATATGGCTTTAGCTAAGTCCGTGACGTATTTGCTGGATCTTCCACGTTCTGCTGGCAATGTGAAGCCGATCTGATTGTTAACGACTATATGGACTGATCCGCCTACATGGAAGTGTGGAACTTGAGACATCATTAGCATCTCTTGGTTGATACCCTGACCAGCAAATGCAGCGTCACCATGTACCTGTTAATTTTTAAATAAATAAATCTTATTTTTTTTAAATAATATGTCTTTTTTATTATGGTACAGGGGCAAACGAGCAGGCCGACGCCCATGGACACCTACAATGCCGGGGCCTAGCAGGTGTGTTGCCTACTTTTCAGGGAAAGTTCCAAAATGAAAAAATAAATGTTGCAAATGTCCCATAAGTATGGAAGAATTTATTTTTTATATGTATTAAATGAATAATAATAAAATTAAATGAATAATAATACTAATATTTAATGAATAAATATAATAATGATAATGAAATAATTATTTTTTAGACGATTTTGGAACCCAGAAACTGTGGGTTTTGGACCAATAAACTAATAAGACAAGACAAGAAAATGTTCATAAAAACATGTTACAAAGATTTACTCAAATTCATAGATTCAAAACCAACGAAGTATGAAAGAAGATTTCTAAGATTTCAGTGCAAATTTACTAGCGCGCTTTACTTCACATCTGTGCATTGAATATTCATATGTGATGCGGTCCATTAATGCGAATGTAATATGTCAATTTACATGTTTATTTAAGAGAACATTATGATGTGAACATGAACACATGAGTACTTCTGAAAAACAAAACTGACTTTTACACATTAATGACTAGACATACAGTATAGATTTTTATGATATTAACATTGAAATAGAAAGCTGTGTAACTATTAAAGTCTTTTCATTGGATTCAGTTTTGTGTCCTAATAGTTCGCTCTAAATGATAACTCCTCCCTGAAGTAATAAACTGTCTTAATAAGAAAATTTACAATTTTAATCTTTTAGTCTTAGGGTGGTATTAACAGTGGATTTAACGCTCAACGAGTCCCACGGAAGTTTGCGCTGAACCTCAGACTTGAGACTCAGCGCTGTGAATATCATATGTCAAAAATATATTGGATTTGACAAGGATTTGCCTTTTAACGAAGTGTCTTATCTGAATCTTATTCTAAGTTATTTGAGCACCCCCGTGCTATGAAATAACTAGTTAATAAATACGTATGTTTAATAACCTTACCTGTACATTCAGGACTTTGTCCCCAAATCGTGACGTTTTGTTAACTGAGTAATCTCCTTCAAGTAATTTCAACTGTTTCGATCGTGCTTTTCCCATTGATACGGGATTTCCCGCCTGAAATTATAAGATTTTGTTTTAATTTCAAAACGTAAAATGGAATTCACTTCCATTGGAGTTGTTAGTAGTCGTACTTGATCGTTTCAAAAAAGGTATATAATTATGATTAGCTAATAAATATGAAATAAATTAATTAGCTTTATAAATGGCTATACGAAGAATAAAATACCTTCCAGAGTGTTTTAAGTATATATTTAATGATCATATTGTATTATATACCTCTAAATGTGATGGATTGTTAATCATAGAAAATTTCACTGATTTTCCTTCTACTGCCAGGTCCACCGAAGCACCTAAAATTTATTAATATATTGAAATCTGAAGATTGACTTAGTGTTATAAATATAGGGGGTTTAGAATTTTATTTCGACAGCTGGGTATGGAATGGAAAATGCGCATCAAAATGTATAAAATTACAAAATTTCATGAATATTATCGAATGTTAAATATATTTTCTATTATTTATAGTTATAAATAAAGTAGAAAAGCGACATTAAAAATAATGAAACAATATTAATTCACTGTTATCTTTGATATCCGCTTTTATGCTTCCTTGCTTTTCAATTTAAGAAAATCTTCAAAACATGTTTAATTCTAACAAATCTATCATTATTCTATTATAAAAAGAATTAAACCTGCCCGACGTTTTGCCAGCTTAAAATTTAATTTGATGGTTCCTATTTTTTTACATTACATACGAATGAAACGTCCACCACAATATTATTACATACTTAAATGTGTAGCAATATCACATGCAGCGTTCGCCTCCAGTGGAAACTCCGGGTTTCCATTAAACTTGTGGAAGATTTTGACAGGCGGGCATTTTAATTGGCTCGTCAGCAGATTTATTTTGCCCCTGTGTGCCATTGACAGGGTAACATATTCCATTCCCTCTGTAATTCAATATAGCTTCGTTACGATTTACGTGAACAATTTTATATTTGGTTTTTCATGGGGTTTTCTGTGGGTAAAATGTTGTAATGCAATCATTGGTAATTGGAATTGCAAAACCAAACAGAAGGTATTTTGATTTATTAGTACCTTTTGCCCGTGTCTTGATTGTTGAAAAGGTTTGCTAATTTTACAAACATACAATACAAACTAAAATAAAGATAAAATGGAAAAAACTAATTGTTCACAATTTAAGTGCTTGATACTTAATAACTATTACTAAGACATTTCTTATAAACTAAAATTATGTATTAAAAAGCGAGAAATATAAAGATAGCTCTGCGAGGAAACGGTGAGTCAGAGACTTGGGGACCATTTCAATTTAATTATCTTGACGATGAAGAACTTGCGATTCCTCTTTTCAATATAAAATGTACCCTATGTCCTGTCCCATAGTAAACTTTATCCGTATGCCAAATTTTATTCAAAACGGTACTGTGTTGAGGCGTGAAATCGTAACAGATTTGGTTTCGCATTTATAATAAAGTAGGGATATTCATGTATGTGCATGCAACTTTTATCTAGATTCAGAGCGTGGTCCTATATATCAGAATTAACTAGATAAACACTCTTTAACCGTAAACGTAACGTTACTATTAAAAGTTAAACTGGTCTCTTAGAAGTAACTTACCAGAACATGTCCGTTGGATGAGGGTGGAAAAGAAAGTCAACAAAGACTCAGCGCCTTCACCACAATATCTCTTCACGCTGGGATATTTAGTGGAGAGGAATTTGTCCCATGTCTGAGTCTCCAATAGTTCCTTCAAGATTTGGCGCTGACGGTCTTTTGAAATCGCATCTTGTGTGTCTTCTATTCGTTGAGCAAACCATTCTCGTTCAGCATCTGTCTGAAGAGAGGACAATTAAAGAATATCGTTATAAGTGGTGGCTGACTCTGAAATTAAACTTTTCGTTTACGTAACAATATCTAAAGATTATTCTTAAATCATTTTATCACAACCCGGGAACTAGACTAACTAAAAAATACACATGCCTGTGTGTATAATGTATACGTGGTTGTAGATTGGATTTTAGTCACTATTTTTGACTTGATCAGTTTACGTTTATTTTTTTAATTTCAATTAATTCGAGGGTGTGCACCGACCAAATCCAAATTCGACGTAGTTTTTCAATATTTGTAGCACGAACATTGCTACGCTTTACGTGTCTCCATGTAGAAGTAAAATATATAAAATTAAACAATCTAACTCACTTCTAAGTATGTAAACTCATAAGAGATCGGGCCGCAGTATAACTTTTCTAATTGCTCCACTAACTTATTGACAGGCTGCTTTCCGCTATGACCATACAATAGACCCAAATCTACGTGATCGTTAGAAGATAGTCCGTAACGTGATAAAGACAGCTCTTTAATATTTCTGAAATGACAATTACTTTACTTCGAAGATAAATCTATGTAATTGATATTTGATAATACTTTAATTATTTATTAAACATTTGTAAACTCTAGAAAAGATATTTTCAAATGATTTAGTTTTCCATAAATTCCCTATTTTACTAGTTAATTGAACGAATAGCTAATACAATTCCATATATAAACAATAATTCACTCGAATCGAATAATAAAAGCCAGAACATGAATGAATTTACTATTTTGTTCTTGTAACTTGTAGTTCATTTATTTTATTGAAAATATAATATGTTTAGAATATTCATGATCATTTTGTATTTAGATTTTACAGGGTACATTTATTAAAAAATAAAAGGGCAAACATGCCCATTCATTACAGAAACACAAATATGTATTACCAAAACTAACCTTGTTAAATTAGATACTGTGTCAGATCTTTGTATAGGACTTACGTAGGACATTATTTTCGTGAATATCAAATGAACTTTTTATATACGTATATATTACTCGGCCTCTGAGGGATCTTGATATTCATATTAAAAATGTATAGTATTTTAATAAATAATCGAATAAAAACCGTAATACCTGTTCGGTTGTTTGTAATCAACATTATCAATAGTCGCCCGAAGGTGCCCGTATGTGCGATAAGCGTTAACCAGTTGCTGTGCGCGGCAGTTTTCGTATCTCCTTGATGTAACTTCTTCTGGTAAATCTGATGGTATATTTTCATGACAATAACAATCTTCGCTGACAATCGATCAATTTCATATTTGAGAATTAAATAAGATATACTTTGCGCTGTATTTCAATAATAATACATATATTCCATTAAGACTGTTTACTTCTAAGAACTTTAAAAAATTAAACGCATTGTATGTAGATGAATTAAAACAGTTATCAAATTTGGTCAAATTAAACTTATGGTGTTGTGTTTGTTGTAATCTTACGCATATGTCAGATTGTCATTTAACATTTATAAGCAGCTGGTATAAATCATAACATACCACTTTCATTCACCTCCCGGGGTCGATGACCGAACACCCCCACTCCCGAATGGTACTTTACTCTTACATATTTAAAATTACGAGCTGTCTTTACACCTTTCATAAACGCAATCATTTTCACTTTTCACCACATTTCACACCCGAAATCCGTTATTGATTAACTGTAATTGCACAAGTTTTTTTCACTGCGGGAAAAATACAGCAGTGGTTCTTTTACAACTAAATTATTTAAATAATTTAATGATTTTACCTATGACCCAATTTATCAAATCACTAACGTATAGGTTCAAATTTCAATAAAAGCATTGGACCAAAACATTCAAAGTTAACAATTTTAATTCTTAACTTTATAAGTTTTCGGAAATCACAGTTACAGATATAAAAATAAGCCTCAGGGTCAAACTGAACGTGCGCGGACGCAGCTCCACAGCTGATAATGAACTGACTTGAGAGAGAGATAGCGCTATCTACAATCTATTTATTGAGTAAATAGGCATATTGTTTTCGATCATTGGCTTGTGTGAATGACTTATAAACTGATTGAACACTATTTTGTTGGTTTAATAATTTTATATAATTATGTTTTTGAAAGAATGATAAGCATAAAGTGCTACAAGTGCTTCTATTAATTTTGTTGTCATAATTACTATTTTGGCATTGACTTAGATTAAATAATCCTTATCGGTCGATAGCAAACTGTTTTTGATAATTATGTTAGCAACAAAATGGCAAAATAACGTGGAATATTTTGATAAGATAAAATTCTCTATCTAAACAATATATATTTTAATAATTCATAAGCAATAAACATGTTTTTGTAATAAGCAATTAAGGTTAATTTGTTTAATTTATACAAAAAATATTTTATTAGATAGAATTATTAATTATGAACACAAAAAAGGAATTTTATTATATTTTCTGCAGAAGAGTGTAAATCCAGTTAAACAAACATTGATTAAAAATAAACCGCCGTGGCGCTATAACCCTCTGGGGGTGGGCCTCAGATCCTGATTGGTGTTTTTTTTTTTATTCATTAGAGTTGTACAGTATTCACATAAACTCCATGTGAAATCTTTTTTTTTATGGGACAATGCACACGAGTATTGAACTTGGTGTTGAATCTACAATTAAATTATCTCCCGAACATGGCTGAATTATTCCACTTTGGTTGGTTTGAGCTACTAAAACAGTAGAATGACAGTTCTAGCCAAATAACGACAACTCTTTAAGAAATCAGCAATTTTAAACAATTTTTTATTTTTAAATTTTAGTAAAAATAATCAGGTTTGTTGAACAGTAGGGTTCAAGTGCACAGGCGCTAATTAAAGGTTTAAGTTGGTTGGTAGTATCGGTGACCCAGAGCTGGTACTTTCCTCGCTCAGTGAATAATTATAATTATATCGCAATACAGCGAGGAAATGCTGCTAGCTTTGGGTACACTGCCACAAGACACTGCCTACAAACTTTTTAAATTTGTTTGTATTTTCTGTTTATTAATTTTTAATTATTATTATTAGTAATTAGGAGCGTTATTAGTAAATAGGAGCGATTCCATGCCTTACACCATGTTAAGAAACAGTCAACTGGTTTAAAATGTAATACCCTCACACATAATATTTATATTAAATAAAATCATAACAACAAACAGTAAACGAACTACGTAATTATAAAATGTGAAATTGCATAGTGAACTTCGTCACGCTATAGATAATGCATTAACTGTGTCAATACAATTCTCATACGATACAATCTTAATAATTTCATCATGAGTAAACTACAAAGTGCTTCTAGTCTGCGTAGTACTATTTATAGTGAAAATACATAGCGCGCCAATGCCTATCTACACATAATAATAATACATTTTTTATTTTCAAAGAATGTGGTACAATTAGATTTTTTAATTATAAAAAAAACAGCACAATAAAAAAATAAGCATGCAAATGTCATATTAATTATCATAATAATAAGAAAACTTGAGTTATTTATAATTGTTGTCAAAGCTTATGATCTAAATAATTTGCGCTATAAAGCCACCTTGCCTTTAATAATTTAAACACACTCCCCTTGAAAGTATTAAATGGCAGTGATCTAAAACTTCTGGAAAAAAATAAATAATATTAATATGTTTTTCTCGATATTTAATTTTGAATATTAGTAAAAATAACAAAACTCAAACGTATTTTAGGTAAATAAAGCAAACAATTTGTCACAAAAACGACGGGCGTAAGGTAAGTTGACGTGTGAATTGAGTTTTCGATACAAAAAAGGACAGGTTTTGCCAAGCTTTTGTTTACGAAATAAAGTAACAATAAGTAATAAGTGCACACACACCTACAAATTGAAGAGCACCAATATTATTACTGTAATGTAGTTTCAGTAAAACGATACATAAGAAAAAAAGGCGTGTATAAAGTATTAATTGACTAATGAAGGTGAAGAAAAGCTTTTCCTTTGTTTTCAAAACTAAATTACTATAATTACTCCATTCAATGTATAATATGAATTTCTTTTCCTGGGAACAATCAAGTTCTAACAAAACCTATATAATCTACCTTCAACTTAAATAAATAGAACAAACGTCTTTAATATTTTTTTAGGTATATAATCAGTCCTAGATCGTATGTCTGAAAGTATGTTTCGGCCAACAATAAGTGATATTCTTGTGTATAAACTGAAACAAAGGCTACAACATGTATGTGATATGAGCAATTTGCACGGCATTAAACACATTTGTTCCTCATCAAAAATATCTTGGCCTAAAAGGTACGATTTTTTTTTATTATTATTGTAGAAATGCAATAGTCTACCCCTTTAAAATACTTATTCTATATCACTCTAAGGATGTTCAATTAAAAGTGACAATTAATAGAGATAAATCTCTCAACAAATGTTTTTTGTTTTTCGACGACGACCTTTCTTGATAAATCTTCTTCCCTTGTAAATCGAGTACCGCCTCTAAGATATTCCATAACCGCGGAAGAAATCACGGAGTTGGGTCCGGTGAATATGAAGGATATTCCATCAATTCGAAGCCTACTTCTTGAATGGCACCTATCAAACAAACTACTATATGAAATTTTTTGTAGAACAAAAAATGTTTTTGTATAGAAATCTTCATGTCTTCTGCTATAAAACAAACAGTAACACGGCGATCAGCCAAGACAATATTGAATTTTTTTATAATAATTTGTTCAATCACTAACGATGTAGGGCGTCCCGTGCGGGGTCCTCGGTAATGGAAGTCCTTTCACGCTTAAATTCAACACACCAACCCTCAACCGTATTCCGACGTAGTATTCTGTCTATCGACGTAGACCGACATTACGGATAACCCCTAATGTTGCTCTCAAATCTTGATTTACCAGCTCGATGGCAAATTTATCAAGCAGAAATATTTTATTATCGCGCGCACGAGGCATTTCAATAACTTCTATTTATACAAAACAAAAACTATATTTTGTTATTATTATATCTAATGTCTGGTCTGTATGTCTTCCAATATTTATTTCAATCGAAGTATATATAGCATTAACACTCATAGTAATAAATATTATGAAAGTGTGATTTTAAGTAAAAATAATTTATGTATTAATTCAATTCTGTAAAAGGAATATAATTTAAAAGAAATTTCTATTTGTAAAAATATTGCTGTTTATTACGCGAATATATCAATTTAAATTCAACTTTAAGTGAATGGCGATTGATTTATAATTATTTGGTTTAAATTAATAAAGTGCCAACAGGCCACAAAGGTTAAAATAATAAAAATAAGAAACAATAATAAAAAACAATGCTTGTAAAGTTCGTTTACATTATAGTATAAATGTCTCAAAATTAAGAGCCCCGTTGCAGTACCATCGACTAGGTTTGATCATCCATATAAAGAGTAAAAAAAATAAAAAAATAAAAGAAATGGTCTAATGCCAATTATATGAGTAAAAACTTAATTAAATTGATTCTATTTTTATTTCAGATTTTTTTGGCTTACAATCCTATCGGCGTGTTGCTTTGGTGCTTGGTCTGTCCTTAGATCATCTTTACGTTTGCTAAGTTCCGATGTAATGTCATATTCTGTAGACACAAATTACTTGGATTGGGATACACCATACCCCGCTGTTACGGTATGCGAACAGATTGATACAAATCGAATAATGACGTATTTAAAGAGGTTCGTCTATTGAGTTTTTTGTTAGGTTATTAATTTACTTATTTATTTAAAAAAAGTTTGCCAATGGGTATTACAATAAAAGCTTACTTCTAGGTACACACAAAAATTACAATAAAAAATATACCCTTTAACTGGCAAACACAGCACGATGAATACTTAATAACTATTGCTAACTAACAACGTTCTTACAAACTATAAATATGTGACCTAAAAAGGGAGAGATATAAATGATAAGTTATTTTAAAAGTACTGGAGGGTAGGGGAGGGTCAAACTTGCTGAGTTTCTTTGCCCGTTCTTCTCAGAACAAGGCATCCTGGGAGTTTTGCGAACGGATGGCGTAGTCTTGCTCTTTCACGAATTTTGTAAACGTTTTTGACATTCATAAGCATGCCCTAAGACGCATCTAAATTGAATTTAAAACGTATATTGATTTGATTTGAAATTTTTTAATCATAGCTGTGCGAAACTGTGAGTAAGAACGGTGGAAGGGGTCAATTCAAAAAAATTCAAAACATATCCTAGGAATAGGACGCGTTGGAACCTAAGACGGTTCTGCGTAAGGGAATAACTACTACGTTGTTATGTCTTTACTATTATACATTGTATTAAGCTGTAGAGGCAATCTCACTCACTTAAAAGTTAAAAGTTTCAGTTTTCAGTAAGTCCCTGACGTAAGCTAATTACTAATTACTAAGTTAGGTATTTTGCTGTACAACCATTTAAACAATATAAAATTATTCTTAATTTGTATTCATTACAAACTATATTTGCGGCCTCTACCGCGTAGTAAATGAGTTCCAAATCACAATAGGTACAATTCATCCGGATTCAACATTCGAAATTTGAATAATTGCTACGAGTCATAGAATTTCAATAGAATCCTCCCCCTCATACTTTATATAATCCACGAACACGAGTAGTATTTAATATATGTTCCTTTATGCGTACTCCCTGAAGCTAAACTAAATAATAATCTATTACTTAGGAATTTCTATTCCCCTTTCCTTGCCCAATGTGTTGGGACAATATAATATAAATAATATTTTAATAATATAAATAATTAATTAATTGTCTTTGATTTACATAACCTTTACACATTTAAAGAAAAAACTGTTTGACCGGATTGAAGTTATGTAGTCACCGTGACCACGCACGCTGTAAAGCACGCGAAACGTCGGATATATTTAAAATTATGTTAAATAGTTGTAAATTTATAATAATACATAACTTCAATCCGGTCAAACAGTTTTTTCTTTAAATGAATTAATTAATAATACTCCTTTAAATTATTACCTAATGTTGCAAAACCATTTACAGAAACGACCTCCCGATTTCCCTCTCAACATTTTTCAAGGAAGTAACATTTTGGAATATGAAGTACTGTCGAACGTGTACAAAATGCGATATGAATAAGACGTGTGTCGAGGGATTTGTAGATGATATTAAGAGGATTAGACTGAATTGTTCCAACCTGCTTTCAGACTGTTGGTGGGATAACCAATATTTTCCGTGTTGTGACAGGTAATATAAAACCTTTTTCGGGCATTGTCTTATTCATTAAGAACATTTTACGTATTGCTATTTATTAATTGTGCTAACAATGTCTGAACAAAGCCTAATTTCTATAAAGTACCAGTTTTCACAACAAATGCATATCTGATTTGCATGTTTATTGTTTAAGCTTACGCGTTAAGACGTCCAAAGACAATTCAATGAAATTGCTTAAGTTTGACTCTGGCCAATCTAACTTGAGTTAGATAGTTTAATCGCTTTATTTAGTGAGGGCTCTCATGAGTGAGGTTTTCAAAGAAGAAAAACTGTCGGAAGGGATAAAAGGTCATTCATAAATACCTAATCAGACTAATTATCTAAACAACGTTGTTAGACAAACAATCACTTTTAAATGATAAAAAAATATAATGTTTTAATTTTAACAATCAAATATACAGTATTTATAATTTTCTTAACCTACATAGTAATAATAAAATTATTAAAAATTTATAAAAATGAAATTAAAACAATTATAAAAAGTTTGGTCCCTGTGGCAGTGTACCTTTAACGCTGGCAGCATTTCTTCACTGTATTGCGAGACTTATTCGTTGAGCGAGGAAAAAACCAGCTCTGGGGTCACCGGTACTATTTAACAGGCGCCAACTTAAATCTTTAATTAGCGCATGTGCACTTGAACCCCACGGTCTAAGAGTCTCAACTCCAAAGCAAACAAAATCGAAATATAAATATAATAAGTAACGCAATCGAATCACATATATAAGAAACACCTTTTAATGTATACAATAAAAGGCCAGGAAAAAATAACATAGCGATAAATTTAAATTTGCAAGCGGAAGAGTCCTTGTCTCCAGTTTAATTTATTTAATTTACTTTGTAGATTTCAACCGGTAGAAACGGAATACGGAGAGTGTTTCAGCTTTAATTCTGTACTGAATGAGAACACTGCACTGACAGCTAATAAGGAAACTGGAACACCAAGTTTGATTTTTACCGCTGTTGATGCTAGTATGGTAAGATTTAAACGTATTGTATATATAATAAGTACATCTAGCATAGAAGAATATTAAGATAATTTATAATATTCAATATAAACATAAAAACTATCACGTGGTACCTGTACGGTACCTGGCGTGATTTTAATATTAGAGGATATTATTTTGTATATATATTAATGGTAATAATGGTATAAAAGCCAAATGAATGTAAAGTAAATGTTGATGAAAATGCCTGCGTCTGGCTATACTGTTGGGGCGTAAATCCGACGATTTAGGTAATCGCTACGCTTATAAAACTAAGAAAGCCTTGGCTCGCACAATACCTATGGAACGATAAAATTTTCACAAACATCTGTTGCTAATTTACTCTTAATATCATATTTGTTTTCGTTATGTATTTATTTATAATATTTATTTACGGGAATGTTGTGAACACAAACTTAAAATATATCTAAATCCTTAAATACTCATAAAGCTTTCACTAACGCCTCGTCATTCCCGTTCCCGCCAAAACGTATTTACGAATGCCAATTTCCGGCAAGCCATAAGCCATAGATATTCGCATATCCATAGATAATCGTAGTACAGAAATAACGATTATCAAAGGAGGACTTAAATTTATACGTAACGTATAATTAATTATCTTTAATTATTATTGCTACGTAGTTACTATTTATTTTAATTTTCAAATTGTATAGTGACGATGAAACTTTTATACATTATTATTTTTAATTCTGTTAAGTGTTGGTTTTAAAAATTCAAATTAATTATTACACCAGATGATACTTGATAGTAGATAAAGTCACATTTGTTTTATAATTTACAGATACGAATACACGCGCCCGATGAAATTATATCCGTTGATATGGAAAATATTTTAGGACGGACTAGCATTTTGCCTCTACTCGCGAATCTAGAAGCAATATTGAAAGTAAGAATTTTTAAATCTCTATAATAATTCTGTCTTCACTAAAATTTTGGCTTAATTTTGCTGTAGATGGATAATAAGTGTGTAAAGATACAGTTACATAATATTTGAAGATGTTACACCATAATAAATATAACATAATATCATCTAACTTGATTTTAAACAATGTATTAATAACCCTAAACATAAATAAATGAAATTAAAAACAATTCTATGATGCCGAGTATTCACGCCTAACCGTATATTGTTAAGCGTAGCTAGAGTTATTTTAATTAGTTTATAATTTATATCAACTGAAGTCATCTTTTCCTTAGTGTATAGAGTACTATATGTTCATTACCCTCTGGAGCACTTTACTAGTTCTTCTATGAGTTTGATATTACATCAAACCTTCAGCGCGAAACAAAACATTATTTGTACGAAGATTTTACGAAGGCGCTACATACTTTTAAAATCCATCCAAGACCTACAGATTTTTACACATTAAAGCAAGTTTATAATCTCTGATAATATCCTTAATACAGTAAAACTTATTTACAGGTAGAACAGACAGTAAACGACGCATCTGTTAGATCCGTATCAACAAAATTACGCAGTTGTTTGTTCAAGAACGAAAAGCCTTTATATGTCAAAAGCTGGCCTTTTAAACTCTATACATATAGTGCATGTAAGCTTTACTGCAAGGCCCACACTCAGTACAATCATTGTAATTGTACTCATCACTTTCTATCAAATCTGGGTAAGATTATTTATAATACGGATGCAATTTAAAAAAATAGTAAAGCGATTAAATATAGGTATTTATTTCCAACACACAAGTATACAATAGTAATTACAATATTGTCAACCTTCATAGTAATAATAATAATTTGTTTTTTATATAAATAGAATATTTAAACAAATTTAAAAAGTTTGGTCCCTGTGGCTGTGTAGCTTTCATGCTGGTAGCTTTTCCTGGTTGTATTGCGATACTTATTCGTTGAGTCAGGAAAGCACCAGCTCTGGGGTCACCGGTACTATCTACCAGACGCCTACTTAAATATTTATTTAGCGCCTGTGCACTTGAACCCCACAGCTTGAACTCCAAAGGGAACAAAATCAAAGTTAGAAAGCAAAAGAGTATAAATAATTCAAAATTACTTTCGCATTTAAAGGTAATTCCCCAGTGGTATACAATATTCCTGTATATTATGAGCATATTGTGAGCTTTTATTTTCACGTGAATTATGATTTTTTCAGGCATCGAACCCAGGTGTCAAAGCTTGATGGTAGGTAGGTGTTGGTTATATCCAAATAGAGAACGGAATAATTCCGACGTAGGACGACCTATATCTTGTTAAAAGACGCCTTAACATATATACAATAGTTTATTAAACGATATAGATATAAATAAGTTACAAATGTTTTGTCTCATATATACAGGGTGGCCAAAAAGTCGTGGATCAAACGCAAATAGGGGATAGATGAGGTCATCAGCGGCAAAAAATTGTTCTACGGGAGGTCTCTAAGGTCAACCCCTGCAGAGTTATGATTTATTTTGGTTTTTATATGAAAATTGACTTTTTTTACTAATTCTTATTAAAATTCGAAAATATCTACATCCTGTATCTTTCTCATAATATCCACTAGATTGGTACTGATGAGTTCTTGCGTTAGACATACTATTTACAGTTGTTTATTGAGTGTATTCAAGATAATATTAAGTGATACGATATAACATTTTTTCAAATCATAACTTTTTTTTATTTCGGACCCCACTGTGAAAAAAAATTACTCTACCGAAAAGTGAACCTATACTACAAATTTTGGCGCATTTAATAGGGATTCTGAAAAGGTATTACACGTGGCCATGAGTCGCTCTAATATCTTTCTATGAAGAATTACAAACAACCAAAATAAATCATAACTCTGCAGGGGTTGACGTTAGAGACCTCCCGTAGAACAATTTTTTGCCGCTGATGACCTCATCTATCCCCTATTTGCGTTTGATCCACGACTTTTTGGCCACCCTGTATATTTAAGGACCAAACATTTAATAGTGATGTCAGGCTTTATTATTAACCCTGTTTGGTAAACCATGAAATTTAATTTTATACGAATCAGTTATGCCCACTATTTTTATTAAAAGTATGTCATGTCAATGCTTTCCACTTCGATTGGTTCTAGTTTTAAAAATCCAGTTCGATGAACGCGTATGATTGGAAATAAATTTTTATACAGTTTAATTTTAAACGCACTTTTTATTTCAGTTAACTTACCTGCCTGCGATGTAAAAGGATTGGCCTGCTTAAGTAATAAAAAAGGTTTGGTCGTGCATTTTAGAAAAACAAAAGCATAATTGGAAATAAGAGATAGTAGAATAGTATAGTGTATAGTAAAATGTATTGGTTATATTTAGTGACAGATGTCAAATGTCAAGTTGAGACAGATCATTGTCATAATGACGCTTATTCGTCATTCAAACATTTTCGTACCTTGTCATGTTTTTTAAAGAGTATTTTAATGTTCTAGTTATTTGTAAAGAATAAATAAACATTTCTTTATAAATGACGTTGGTTTCAGATGAAATTGGAAAGTTCAACTGTAGTTGTCCCATGGGATGTGATGAGACATCATACAAAGTGACGCACGTATTTTACAAGTAAACATTTTTTAACGTCTATAAAAAAACTTTGTATTATCTGTATGGAAAACTATTTTATATATACGTAGTTGGTCCCAAAGTTCTGTCACTAGCACATTATTTCTACATTTCGAGCAGGATTTTATAAAAAAATTATTGCATTCTATTTTGGAATGTTTGATTATTGTTTTAAAACAAAAAACAATACTTTCCGTAATTTTTCACGATGGAGTGGACATTGAAAGTAAACCGAATAGTTGTTATTGGTTGCACCGTGTGACACTGCGGTACCATTTTCAAGTTGCTCAAAAATTTGAATATAACGCTTAGGTTTGTGTACGGTACTATTGATAGGTACCTTGAAGTCTCAGTGTTGAGGACAAGAAAAGAACTGGCTGGCCACGCTCCGCAAGAACACCAGCAGTAATCAAAGCTATCAAGGCGCGGATAGTAAGAAATCTGTCCGAAAACAGAAGTTGATGGATTTGCAGATGGGTGTCAGTAGGAAAACAGTAAAAAGGTTTTAAATGAAGATCTTGGTCTAGAGCATACAAAAAAGAGTGGGCACTTACTTAATGCTCGTCTAAAAGCAATAAGGCTTAAGAGATCGCGGGTGTTGTTTAAGCGGTACGCGAAAACCGACACCGTGATATCCTCTTTACGGACGAAAAATTTTTCGATATTGAAGAGAAGTACAATAAACAGAATTATACAGTGTACGCTAGGAGTTCTGAAGAAGCTGAAAATAAAGTTCCAAGGGTGCAACATGGAATCATCCATCATCAGTAATGGTTTGGTTGGGAGTGTCCTATTACGGGCTAACTGAGGTTAATTTTTTTCGAAAAGGGGTCAAAACCAGTGCTACAGTGTACCAAGAGACGGTTTTGTATCGCCTTGTCAAAGACATGTCCAGCACCCTATTTGCGGGACATCACTTCGTGTTCCAGCAGGACTCTGCGTCTGCATACAAAGCCAAGACCACTAAAGCCTGGTTTGAGCGTCAAAACATCGTCTTAATTAGACATGAGGATTGGCCTTCCTCCAGTCCGGACCTTAATCCTTTGGACCAGAAATTATGACAGGGCTTAGAGAGGAAGGTCTGTGATAAACCTCATGAAAATTTGGAGAATCTGAAGTCATCTTTAAAAAAACAGTGACTGAAATCGACACGAATATGGAGCGTGCTGCGATAGACGACTGGCCGCGACGCTTAAGGGCCTGTATTAATGAGGGAGGTTATTTCGAATATTTTTATGCTTTTTTTATTCCTTAATTAATGTACTAAGAATTGATATATCACTCATTACAAACTGATCAGTACTTTTGTTTTTATCATTATTTCCATTTATGACAGAACTTTGGGACCGACTACGTAGAAACGTTTAACATAAGACCTACATAATTATCCCCTTGGTTTTTTATAACCTACATTTTTATAGAGGAACAATGCTCAAAACATAAAAAAGCGAATAATTAATGTAAGAACCGCGATGACACCATTGAATACAAACTTTACTAACACGCCAAATATCATCCAGGGCTTTTATTAGGTAAAAATTAGACACAGTACTATGTCTGCCCCATACCCTATTAAGCTATTATATACATTACAATATATGTATGTAAAATAGGATTTCATTTTATTAAATTATGTTAACCACATCATGCTATATCTACAATATATTATGTTACAAGCTAATTTTTCTAAAATATATGACAATTATGGTAAACATAAAAGTTACCAAAATTTTTAAAATAAAAATATTTAAGATTTGGGCTTGTAAAACAGTTTGAAACAATCACGATCGGAAACAATTCAACTGTTTCCATTCAATGAGATAAACAGAAAACTTAAAGGGAAAATTTAGTTAACGTTGGGAAAATTGAATTTTCTCAAGTTTCGTTATCTTAGCAAGTTTCTCGAGAAAACCGGGGTCTATATCAAATAAGTTCATTCACGCGGGAAACTTTAACCTAAAGAACAAAACCTGGATATTTGAAAAAAAATTAGATGCATATCATCAATAAAGCTACCTTCAAACTTATTACCTTATTCAAATTGTACTATCTTAGAAAAATTAAACCAACTTCAAATACCTAATAACATTATTTATCTATTATACCTACATGTTTATAAATGCGTGCAGCGTGCTATATTCAACCGCTTTTGATGAAACTTGGACTGTTTGGAATCTGCCTTAAATCAATCATATTTGATATTAAGTTTCCGAGACATTTTTTTTAAATATATAAATTTCGCAATATCCCCGACTCTTGTGGTGTGGGACCTTATTTTATACATATATTTTGTACAAACATATATATACATACATACATTAAGAAAGTTTTTAATATATATATATCCATACATACAAATACATACTACATATTTCTATTATATATTCATGGGCTAGTGGGGTCCCGTCTCACCTCTGCTACACTCTTGTTGCAGTGAGTGACACATCTCACTACCTTACTGCAGAAATCCTCCAGTTGCGATCTGAAGTTTCTTAATATATCCGGTAAATGCTCGGTTGTTACCTGTATATCGATTTGTTGCTCGACCTGGAGGCCGAGACATTTGTAGACAAACATAAACACTTACTTAAAAGCTCAACAAAATTTATAAACACATTGTGCAAATAAATATTGGAAGTTTAATTAAATGTTTTGTGGGTACCTAAGACTAATTGGATATGTCAGCGGTCCGGTCACGTAGGCGGTTACGTGACGAAAATGAGGGTAGGTTAAACAAAATTTTCAAAAAATCATTAGTTTATTTTATTACGAAACAGCAAGCTTACCACGTTACATCAATAGCTTGGATATAAAATATTCAGGCATGTTTATCGTTATCGTTAGATGAATTAATTGGTATTCAATAATAATAGTGATAATGCAAAATATCTAATTCTATCCATCCATATCCATATCTATATTATGTAATCGCTATTGAAGTTATCTCGTGAGCTTACTGATGAGTCCATACCTTCTGAATGATTACAGAGCAATGTATTTTACACCTTAAATATAGTATTTTAATTTTGGTAATATTTCAAACATTCAAAAGGACAGATTAAATAAATAATGATAATTGTTTTCACTTTTAGTCGTTCCAGTAAAGCAGAGAATGTTGTGCGTTCGTCTCGAAGTGTAGTTAGATTTGGTCAGCTTCCCACTATGAGAGTCAGACGATTCGCTATACGAGACAGCCTTGGACTTGTTGGTATGTCCATTTAATAAATGTTTAATTTAAAGGTAAAAAAATAACAAAGTTACGAATAGTTAATGATCTGTCACGATTATTTGCGTGCAAAGTAAATTTTCAGTCTTTTTCATTAGCGCACACAAGAATATAAATTATCCTAGAATCCTACTTATTATTATTATTTTTTTTTTTTAAGACAATTCACACCAATTGACCTAGTCCCATGCTAAGCTGGTGAAGCTTGTGTTATGGGTCCTAGGCAACGGATATACATACATACTATAGATAGATAGACATATAAATACATATTTAAACACCCAAGACCTAAGCACAACACCAAATGCTCATCACATCGATGTTCGTCTCAGCCGGGGATCGAACCCGGGACCCATGGACTCGCAATCAGGGGTACTTCAGGGTTGTAGGACTCATTTTCCGCAATTAGACTCCTGATTGGTCCGTTGTGCGTTGAACCAGTCAGGGGTACTAACCACTAGACCAATGAGTCGCCGTTTAATTTTATATTAAAAGTAATTACCTAGCTTTATATTCTATTTGCATTTGTTCATAGTTTTCCCAATTACTTATATATTTGTTCTATTATGTAACGAATTATTTATACTTATAAATATTTCTTTTTAGTGGACATCGGCGGCGTTGGGGGTGTATTTTTCGGCGCTTCACTTCTCAGTCTAATTGAATTTGTTTACTTATTTTGTATACGGCGGTAATGTCATATTATAGTTATGTTAATTATTAAAAATGAGCGCTTAGGAGCTTTAAAGAGAGTAGGTACCTGATATAGGAAAATGAAAAGTTATATTCAATATAGATATTGTTATTTGTCTTTGCAATTTTGAATTATTTATACTTATAAATATTTCTTTTTAGTCGACATCGGCGGCGTTGGGGGTGTATTTTTCGGCGCTTCACTTCTCAGTCTAATTGAATTTGTTTACTTATTTTGTATACGGCGGTAATGTCATATTATAGTTATGTTAATTATTAAAAATGAGCGCTTAGGAGCTTTAAAGATAGTATTTGTCTTTGCAATTTGTTGTACATTTTGTGTTAGTACTTTAGGTATTTCATTTTTTAACAAAATCTTAATATATATATTTCTTCTGTGCGTGTGTATGTGACTGAACTTCTCTCAAACGACTGGACCGATTTTGATGAAATTTTTTGTGTGTGTTCAAGGGGATCTGGGAATGGTTTAGATTCACAAATCAGCGCGGCAGATGGCACTGCAGTCGGTACTTTCATACTTTGCTTAATATCCTAATCGCTTTAAATATCATGCAGGACAACGTCTGTGGGGTCCACTAGTACAATTATATAATTTTATTAATGGTGACACCGAATTGTTACGCGTCTCAATTTATCATAGTGTCCGTTGCCCTAAAGCAAAGAAATAAAATAATAATACCATTCAAAATATATATTTTCTCGCACCAAGAGTCTGTATTTTGTAAATGGAAGACATCAAGGCTTACACGTTATTTCAACTTCCTATAATAGGTATTAAAATGTATCTTAAACAATTCTTTAATGAAAACGTAAATACAAGTATATCCAACAAGAGAATCTTAAAGTTGTATAGCTGATGTGTGGGCCTGGGTATCCGGAAGTTATATCCAGGATGCTCCCTTCCCTCGGTAAATAATATGCGCTGATTCAGCTGTCAGTATAATAAAAAAAGGAATCCAATAATCGATCAGACTAAGACTAGCACTTAGCATCAACGGTGGTGTGAATAAAAGTATGTGGTCTATATTCAGTTCGCACGCGACAGCGGTTAATATTTTAACTATGATCCTTGCGCCATTACGCCGGAACACAACCTACCATCTCCGGTTCATGTGTCAAAGTCAAAATCGATAATTGTCATTTTTCTTTGACTGACATCGATTTAGCGCGAACAGCATACGACATACATACATATACAATATATAACGAATAATTACTGTGAAACTAAAATATTACAATAACCTTAAAATTGGTCCCTCTATCAGAGTAGGTACTCTTAATGCTTGCACCTTTATCTCACCGTCTTATGATGCTAACTGGCAATGATTTGGGTTCACCGGTACTGTCTATCAGGCTACTTAAATCGTTATTTAACTTTTACCTGGCCTAGTAGAAGTCTCGATTTAAAGGAAACAATAGTAAATTAACATTTTTTTATATTTCTGGCCCTGTGATTCAATCCCGAGGTATCATGATCGGTTGTCAAACGTGATAACTAAGACGACTATCTATCACTCGACTGAGTGTTATAATAAAACTTCAAAAACATTTGCATCTATTTGATCTAAAAGCGCTGAAATCGAGAAACGGTTTGCCGAAACTGCGTTTTCAAAAGATACATTCACTTCTCTCCAGCTTTATTTATATCCCCTCGAGATATTTCAGTACTTGTAACAATGAGAAGCTCTCAACGTCTATGAATTATTGTTAGAGTTGAGTATTGCCATGCATTATTAACTGCTTCCCTTAGAGTAGTACTAAGCAAGTACGTTAAGGCTTAATATTTTAGACTTACCGTACACTTCGACCACATGGTCGCGACTACTATTGTATTATTTATAAATAAAATAAAAAATATAAATAGCCTAAATTCGAGTACTATAATAATAAGGATTACATTACTTTTTGTTATTATTGTATTAAATATAAGTACACGATCTCGATCACTGCCTCCTCCAAATTCTTCCACTTGTCTCTTATGTTCTCTAACATTTTCCAATCTTTCCCCGCTATCCCTTTTATTTCATCTTCCCAGGATTCTGTGGCGTTCTCTCTTTTTTCTTCCCACTAAGACATTCCAAGCAAGGGTCTTTTTGACCTATTTGTCATCACAAACGCGGGCATTGACCGGCCCTTTTCCAATTTAACTTTTTTGAATTACCACGTAATTATAAATAATTTAGGTAATAATTAGAAGCGTAAACCAAATATTGAGCCATTACAGTTTTTACCGCAGTTTTTACCACTCTTATAAATGGTATTTTACCATTCTCGTTTCCGGTAATGTCCAATAACATAAGTGTCATTTAGATTTATGAACCCTTAGATAAGCCAAGTTTGTTTTTGTGAGCTTCGCAACCCTTCTACCCTTAATTTTGTGTTAGTTATAAGCTCATGTTTTAAACCATTAAAATCAGTTGTTACCCAGCTTCAAACAAAGAGTTTGATTTAAACACCTCCATACAAAAACTGCCACCAAACTTAATTCACGTCTGTTATTTTTTTTAAGGTTTCGTATTACACTATTTTTCTCTTTGTTTTTAAGTTTCAACCGAAGAATAGAACGCTCCATAGGCATAATATATATTTAATTACTTACTAATAAAAAAATAAGTAATGCAAGTGCTATTCAGCTACGTACTTTAATGCTGGAAAGCCTATCTATTTGGAACTTATAAGATTAAATAACTCTGAAGAACGACTCTGAGTATGGTATACATATTTATATAGCCGTAGATTTTTCTATTCATACCATTTCGTAAAGTATCATTTTATTTGTTTGTCAAATTGTTTCGGGGATGTTAGGAGAGAAATAAATAAGTAGTTTAGATGAAAGCCTATTATAATTGATTGTGTATTTAAAATAAGGGAACAATTAGGGGAAGAGACTACCGGTCACTTAATATTACATTTACTACAAATTTCTTGAAAGCAGATACTTTTATGTTGTGAAGATCGTTAATTATGTTATTAATTTACATGTAAGAAACACGCTTTTCACGAATATTTGTTAAATAGATATCATTTTGTATTAATTTTATTGTGAGAGGCTAAAGCTAGTATGAAAACCGGAAATAATACCTGCTCGACTCTGTGGTTAATGTTTATGATAGAGAAATGACAATGACAACGAATATAATAAAACTTTTGAAATAATGGCGAAATTACTCAGTTTTATAATACTAACAATTTCACTATACACCTTTACTTACCAGCAAAGCTGGCCTGGCTGGAGTAAAGATTCAATGCATGACTTGAGTAAGTATATAAAATTTTTGTTTAAGTACTTACAATCTTTTTAATTGGAAACTCTGGAAAAAGGACTTTGTGAAAATCCAAAAAATACTCGTTTTAATGTTCATTGGTGGCCTTGTCAGTGTCGTGATGTATTCCTATTACTAAATACAATTTCAGTTTTATAAAGCTCCAAGCAACTTTATTAATCAAATAAAAAACCACAATTTCGGTCAAATAATGCAAGTCGTGCTTCCCTTTAGTTCAAAATATGCCCACAGCCTTTCTTTAATTTTCGGTTTAAAATCTATACATAGTTACTTTTCTCTTATGGTGGAAAATGTATTTTATATATTGTTCCGTGTTGAAGCTTATTAAGTATTAAACCTTAGCGTATGATATGTGTTGCAAAAAAACATTTGTTCATTTAAATATTTTAGGCAGACTTTATGGTTGGTTCCTTGTCAAATTTAGGGAAACTAATAGAAGGGCCGCTAGGCCAAATATTGGAACAGATCGTTTTCTTAAATTATACACAGATTATTTATTTAATTAAATTGTAAACAACAAGATAGTGAAAATTCTAATTATGCGACAATTCTAATAATACATAAAATTAAGATTAAAAATAAAAAAAGAAGAACTAAGAGAAGTTACAAACTTTACGTTTATTGTAGTGTAATACCTGTTAAATGTCCAAATCTACATACTTTTAGATATGACCTGCGACAAAGCAGAATGCAGTCCACCTTGCAACTACGCTGCCCCACCCACTTACTGTCCCACCATTTTGCCGAACTGCTCAAGCGGCTGTGTCTGCATGCTACAGTGTCAAGCACCGGTCATAACCTGCTTCAAGCTCAAATATTGTCAAAAGAAGAGATGGTTTTTACGTCAGAAGACACAAAATTAAGTGTGGAGTAAATAGTGTACATGTTTTAATTTGAGCATTTATAAAAGAAAAATTTCCAGAAAACCAATAACGTAAGAAAAATTTCAAGAAAACCAATAAATACACGAAAAAATAACATCATCTAGATAGAACGAACTCTACTATAGGTTCATAGAGTATACGTATCCGTCAATACGACAGCTCGAACGGATGCATTTTTATACAAGTTGACAAGACGTATTCTATTCGAACAGTATGATATCGTTGCTCAAGGTATACAGAAATTAAATGATTTTACGCACTGTTCTTTCTCAGAGTTGTTTCTACAATATCACTACAATAATTTTATATACTCGATCATTAACCGCAAGAAACGTCGTAAATAGCTTCTATAGTAATAAATTATACACAAAAAATATAGGATTTTCATTAAGTACGTCTCTAAAGGAAAGTAGGGCGAGTTAAGGGTCATAATGAACCATTGTAACGTTATCGTGAGTTGCACTTAAGAGGGCGCCAGTGCGATTCACATATAAAGTAATTGTATTGCCATAGGTTGAAAATATATGTTTAATATATCCTATATATATGAAACATAGTAAAGTTATTCCTTTATTTAAAGCAGGTAGTATGTCCGACCCCAGTAACTTTAGACCAATTTCCGTACTACCTACTTGTAGTAAAATATTTGAAAAAATTATATTAAATCAACTGGTAAGTCATTTTAACGTAAACAAATTATTACATAATAATCAGTTCGGTTTTACCAAGGGTCGCTCGACAGCCGATGCCGGTGTTGAGTTATATAGATATATAGTTAAGGCTTGGGAGGAGTCGCATGACGCTTTAGGTGTT